TGCTCTAAATTTTGCTCCCATACATGCATTCTACACACATACAGGTTTCCACTGCAAATAGAAATATTGTTGTACCTGCCCTAGCTGCAGAGATATTGAGGCCTCAAAATTGAATAGTCACAAATTTACTTTTTTGAGAAAAATGGAAAAAACTGAAAACACACAGTTTCTTCAAAAAGCAACGATCATGGTGCGCATGTTTAGCAATCCTCACGAAGGTGCTCATAAATTGGTAGTAGAGTTTTAGACAAAGGTGCTGGCAAATTATAAAAAAGCCTCAAAGTCGGTTCCCCATTTTTTTGCAGGTTCTGCATGTTAACAGCACCAAGAATCTGGACAGTTAAAATGACATTACAAAAAAATTACTACTTCTTGGTGCGTGAAAATTTGCAGAGAGATAGAAAAATACTTGCAGAAACCAAATATGTCAATTTTAAAAAATGAATATTTTTGTCACTTTTTGGTCCCAAAGAGCAGTCTTTGGGACCTAAGAGTGAAGAGTGAAAAACATTGGCTCTAAGAGTGAAAAACATTGATCGATTAATCAGTGACATGCAAGAAAAGGCATCGACATGAATTCATATGAGCAGTGATCTTTAATGTCAAAATATATGACACTATTTATGCTATGAAACATGCTTATTGAAGACAATAGTTTTTTGGGGGGACCTTCGACGAAAAAATTTTGGTCTGTCTGTCTGCCTGTCCACCCTAACGATACTTCAAACGGCACCAAACGGCCAACCCCATCCGCAGCGCTCACCAATATTGCTCAAGGCTTAGCGTTCATAGTTGTGCGATTGTCAATTAAAAAGCAATTATTGTGCATAATGATTATTGATATGTGGGGTTTAATGTCCCAAAATCACTATATGATTATGAGAGACGCCGTAGTGGAGGGCTCCGGAAATTTCGACCACCTGGGGTTCTTTAACGTGCACCCAAATCTGAGCACACGGGCCTACAACATTTCCGCCTCGATCGGAAATGCAGCCGCCGCAGCCGGGATTTGAACCCACGACCTGCGGGTCAGCAGCCGAGTAACCTTAGCCACTAGACCACTACGGCGGGGAATTATTGTGCATATCTGAGGCACTACAACAACGCTTCGATGTTTTGTACGTCTGCCTTTATACTAGAAGTGACACACACAAGTAACTCTGAGGACTGTAGCGTTTAATCGCGCTGCGCTGACAGTGCAACGCGATGCTCAAAAAGGTGTTTCCAACGCTTTGCTACGACGTTACGGTGGTGGCACCTGCCTGTCGCTTTGCGTTCTACACCTTATCACCTCCGAGATTAGCACGCATCTTTCTCCGCGGGCTGCACGCCTTCGTTTTCGAAGATAACTGCCAGATGACACTTGTGTCTAACATGCCTAGATGCGCTCGTTCGCCTCTGCCACACGCTTAAGGCACTCTAACGCAGCGCCTGCAGAATACCATTCACAAATTTTCTTGCACACAACATCAAATAAACGTTTTGTTCAGTCTCTCCAGACGCAAGACTATCGTCTTTCGACGACATGTGCAGTGTAACATGTAGATTCGAGCCAATTTTTTTTTTCATGGCAGAGTTAGTCAACTCAAAATTAAATGTAGTAATCAGTTATTTGCATTTGTTTGCATTTTTTAGACGTGACTGCATGAGCATCATTTGCAGCTTGCCAAGGAGCTCCAGCGCACAGTTTAAATTCTCATCTTCTCTTCTTTCTTCTCTATCTTTTTTTCTTTCCCCTTTCCCCACCCCAAATGCAGGTTAGCCAACCGAGCCAAGCTTGGTTAACCTTCCTGCCTTTCCACTCCATTTCTCTCCCTCTCTCTCATCAGCTGAGAAGTGCTATACTGTTTCAATGCTTTGCATCACTAGTAAGTTTCCTTTGGTTTCGCAACAAAATGTGATTGCTGGAGGTAAACTTCTGCAAGGAGAGATGAAAACCCGGGATTCCCAGTTCGAATAAATTATTATATCCGAAGTTTCTAAAGTTTTCCCCCACATAAATACACAGTGTCATAACCGGCAATACAAGGGACCGGCATGCAAGGGACGCTCATCGGCGTACCTGCCATACGCTGTCCGCCTTCCAAAGAAACGCGGGAAATGTCTTGGCGCGCTGCGAGGAACGCGCATCGGCAGGCCTGCTGTACGCAGTCGGCGTCTAGCGCGTGCACGGACGGCTATAAAAGGAGCGTGTCGGGAGTGCGCTGGGCTCTCTCTCTGGACTTCGCTGACCCGCTCGTCTCGAGTGCACTCTGGGCCCTTGTGATGTAAAGGCGCGTCAGTACGCTCTCGTTGCAATGTACTTCTCTTGCAAATATGTAAATTAAACGCACCTTCTGCTTGTTCGTGAGACGCGTCGCAAGAGTCGTCCTTCGCCGAATCCTGGGTGGCAGCCTCAACCCCTCTTCGGGCATATCAACTGGTTGGCAGCGGCGGAATCGGTTCGTGTTCTTTCCTGGTACCGATGCTGGTGAGTGCTCACTTTCCGTAGAGTTTCTGCCAGGTGTTTTGGATAGATGGTGATGTTTATCCAAAAGGGTAGATTAGTTGCTGCTTTGTGAAGGACTGGGTTAATTAGAGGTACATTCACGGCAGTTTGAGCAACGGAAGTCTGCACGGGGTGACCATGGACTTGAACAAATTGAGGGAACCATTTTTAGTGCTGTTGTGCCAGGAGCTGGGGATTGAGGTGGCGACTATACATAGAAAGCCACTTTTAATACAGGCGGTTAAGGATTCTGGCGCGCATGCCTAGGAGCTCGCCGAGGAGCTCGCCGAGTGCTGGGAGCTAATTCAGGAGAGGATGAAAAGGGCACAAGAAGTCGAAGAGCGAGAGCGCCTTATGTTTGAAAGAGAAACCGTCAGGCGCAAAGAAGAAGCGGAAAGCCAAGAAAGGGAGCTTGAGCGCTTGCGGCTTCAGCTTAAGATTGCAGAGATTGAGGCGCGTCAGGAAGCGCTGGAACCAGAGATCGCGCCAGAAAAGGGCCCGCATATTCTTGAATGCATCAAGGTAGAGCATGTAGAGAACGAGGCCTTGGCCGGTCTGGAGGTAGGGACGATGTCGGAAGACGCTCCTTACATAGATGAGGAGAGTTCCAGCAGCCTTAAAGGGCCCAGTATGGAGCTGGAAGCTTCCTTTATGCCTCAAGAGGATGTTTCGACAACGTCAAATGTAGGCATGGATAGCGCAGTGGCCGGTGAGAGCAAGAACGCCATGCTTCAGCAGTGCAGCCCTATTATCGAGGTGATTTGCGAACATCGCAGAAAAAGAAAGAAGCGGAAGCGTTCGTCACTGCGTAAGCCTAGGACAGGCCCCACTCATTCGCAAGAAAGAGGAGAGGGTAGGCCGTTAATCCGTTTTAAGGAACGTCAATGGTGGCGTTCAGAGAGGTACAAGCGGCGAGCCAGGTGTGGAGGGGGAAAAGGAGGGACGTCACCCAAACGAAGCGCACGGTTCAGTTACACGACTTCGGAAAAGCGGCCTTGCCCGAAGGGTCAAAGTCGGAAGGGCAGAGTGGCTAAATACCGCGTAGGGGTAAACACAAAGAGAAAATGGCACAGGCTCCCCCCAGCTTCTGGCGTCACTTTCAAATTCCTGCGTGGAATAGGCCTAAGTGGAAAATGAGGTGTGACAGCATTGCACTGCTTAGAGTTTGTGCATTTTGTAGCTTATGGCGTGCTCGAAAAACGCCGGGACCACGACCCCGTCGTGTGCAATTAAACATAATCTAGTTGAGAAAGGGGGAACGGTCAGTTAGAGTAACTGTTGCACGTGCGTGTTAAATGTTGTTACTCAGTGTTGAATTGGAGATGCATATTTGAGTCCTTTGTCAGACGCAAGTGCTACTATTTAGCCTTGTGCGTGTGTGCGTTTTTATTTCTTTGTTCGAGTTCACTTGGTCACCACCATAGTGTAGTCTTCTGTAGTGCAATAAATTACGAGCCTTGCAGCAAGTTACACCTGGTGATTCTCGGGAGAGCTGAGTGTTCTCAGTGTGGGTGTCCGGTTTGAGAGCGTCTTCCCCGCTAAAGGCAGGCAGAAGATTGCTATGCTTACCGGTCCAACAGCATGGCATGGTGGACACGACGAACCAGCTATTGCGGACTGTGGCCCTTCGGTAGGGCTTCCTGCTTCCTTCGGCCAGTGGACGACCAGGCAGCGGTGACGGGGCCTTTGCAGCTGTGGACAGTCCCATGCTGTGACCAAGCGTGTGATGTGCTGGGCCTCTTTACGACGTCCAGGTGCGCCTACCGTAAGACCTGCTATGTGGTGAGTGTCTCTGTGTTGTGGTGGACAGTGTTGCGCCTACGGAGACGAACTACGGCCACTTCAGGGAGCAGCGCCACTGCAGCCCTTACGTGACCTCTTCGAACGGCCGACGAGCTGTCATAACCGGCAATACAAGGGACCGGCATGCAAAGGACGCTCATCGGCGTACCTGCCATACGCTGTCCGCGTTCCACAGGAACGCGGGAAATATCTTGGCGCGCTGCGAGGAACGCGCATCGACAGGCCTGCTGTACGCAGTCGGCGTCTAGCGGGTGCACGGACGGCTATAAAAGGAGCGTGTCGAGAGTGCGCTGGGCTCTCTCTCTGGACTTCGCTGGCCCGCTCGTCTCGAGTGCGCTCTGGGCCCTTGTGATGGAAAGGCGCATCAGTACGCTCTCGTTGCAATGTACTTCTCTTGCAAATATGTAAATTAAACGCATATTCTACTTGTTCGTGAGACGCCTCGCAAGAGTCGTCCTTCGCCGAATCCTGGGTGGCAGCCTCAACCCCTCCCCGGGGATATCAACAGGACTGTGCAGGGACCAGTGAGTTTGAATTGACTGCAATTTCAAATTGACCTGAGTTTGAATTAACAAGCCTTTACTGTATAAAACAAAAAAGTGTTCATTTTTGGGCAAATGTTATCTCCCAAAAACTGAAGCACCCCACAGTTGTCAGTTTCTCGGAGACACCAGGATTAGGCAGACATGCAATGAACAGGATGACTCACCCGCCAATGGCATACAACATTCGGTTCAGCGCAGTTATGCCGGCTCGAGATCTCCGGTGAACAGTGGGTGCGAACGAGCTCCAGCGGTCCGTCCGTGGATTGTAGTACTCACACTCACTGTGAATGGCAAAAAGTGAGCCTCCACCTGAAAGGAGAGGGGATGCATGTAAGAAGACCCAGACTAGTTAGTAGTACATTGCTACTGCATATTGCCGATTATAAGTCAATGTTTTTTTCATAAAATGGTCTTCTAAAGCTCGGGAGTCGATTTATAATTGGAGTCATCCTATATGCGTTACCGTAAGGTTGACTTCTTTGAGGGGTCTGACAAGTGGTCGTCTTTCTCCGATTCACTGCTATTTGACGCATCGATAACATCAGCCTTGGAGGCAACGGACTCGCAGGAACTGCTATCTCCCAACACAAGCACGCCACTTCTGGAACCGGACATTTTTATGATCTGCCCCGACGATCGAGAGACAACGGTATAGCTATGGTGGCCAGAGGAGAGATACAGCATTTATTCATGACACGTCACTAACGACGTCACTGTTTCAATGGTAGCGCCACCGCATTTGCGCGTCTGTCAGGCGTGATCAACAACAACACCGGCTCTCCCCGTATATGGGTATGACAGTGCATGTGGCTTACAAAGAAACATGACATGCGTATGTCACTGGCTGAAAATGCGACATACAGTCGACTCGTGCTAATTCAAACTTGAGGGAATCTCCGAATTTTGTTTGAATTATCAAGGAGTTTGGATTCTCAGAAGTTTTCAGATAGATGAATCTGGGTGAGGTGACACCACACATTATGATTAGTCATTGATTTTATCACATTAAAAGTTTTTTCAAAAGTTTTTAATCCTTAACTGCATGCAATGAACAGCAAGCAGAGGTGTAAAGTTCACAAGTCTATTGGCCATTTACTACTGATCACACCTTTTAAAGAAATCATGAATTGCCAACTGCTTCTTTTCTATAGGTATGTGCCTTAATCACGAAGTTCTGTATACCAGTTGAGAATCATCATGGTTTACCATGCGTGTGCTTCGTTTCAAACATTTGTTTACTAGCAAATCCTTTTTTCTTGAAGCCCTGAGGCACTTACTTTTCATTTTTAGACTGCTACCTTGTATAAGCACCCAAATTTTTAAATAGTAGTGGGAAAGCAGCAGATATTTTCTAGGTGTGGAACAGCAATAAGTATGAATTAACCAAATGATGGAGTTTGAATTAAGAGGCTTTTAATTTTAAATACACTGAAAGAATAGAGGGCCAACCAAAAAATCGAATTTTGTTCGAATAAACCGAAAGTATGAATTATCAGAGTTTGAATTATCGAGAGTCTACTGTATGTATACCTGTCGCAGAAAACTTGACATGCATCTCTCGTTCACAAGAAACGTGATGTTTATCGTTTGCAAACAACGTGATATCCATTTCTCGCTTTAGCGGACAGCGTGCCCTAACAGCGCTTGCTGACTAGGCAATTCAATAATTCAGATCTTCCGCGAAGCACCATAGGCATTTCACGAAAAGCTGGCAGCATCATGTGGGCTGACAACACTTCGCAGGGAACTAAACCACATGACCAGTCGCATGCACCCACAAGCGTCTTCACGTCCTTTTGCCCTCACACCTGTTCGCCATTTCTGCATTTCGCCTTGCTTGCGAACACTAAAGGTGTACACGACTTGCGAAGCTGCTCAACAGACAACAAGATGCCACCGCCACACTGCCAACAGTACAGTGCTGCTTTCAAGTGGCAAGCGATCCTCTACGCAGAGTTGGCAAGCAACGTTGAAGCAGGGCGGAAGTTTGGTGTGTCGGAAAAGTGCGCGAGAGAATGGAGAAAACCAAGAACCGAGATCTTCATGTACGCTGTGATACAGAGTTCTTTTCGCGAACTGAAGTGTGCCCTGCCACTGAGGAAGTGGTTTGAGAATGGGTTCACAACCAGAGAATCAAAAGCCTGAGTGTCTCCTATGATGATATTAAAGCAAAAGCACGTACTGTCGCGAAGGATATGTGCATCCCGCAACTGAGTTTAAACCGAGCTCTTTGAGTGAAGTGGTGCAATAGGATTATGATGCCTAGTGTAGAGTGCCAATCGACATGGTCTGCATGGCATTTTTCAAGTGCGGCATCTCGGTATCACCAGCACCCTTTTCGACGGTGAGCAGCAACAGTGTCTCACACAATGGCAATGACCGTGACAGTTGTATCCTTCTCCCAAGCGACGACGAGTGGTGAGCGATGTTTCATGGTCAAATAAATGTTTCTTTGCATCACTTCCGCTTCTGAAAGACTTACCTGTGTGCTATGGCTGCAGCATAAGGCTGTGTTCAGAGTAAACTTTTTTTTGCCTAGTAGGAGTTAAAGGTTGGGTGGCCGACTATATACGGTAAATGTGTCACCAGGAATATGAAATATTAAGCAAGTCAATCAAGGAGGTGAACTTATCCAGCACCCACCCTGTCAATGACATATGCCTAGTCTTCGGGACCGAGAATTTGCCATTTGATACAAAAAGCTGGAAGAAAAAAACTAGCTGACCCTCAATACCACCAAACTGGGAAATAATTTTAGCCCGATGCATTAAAAAGCTCATTTTGCAGAAATTTCGGTGCCGGCGTTCCCGGTTGTGATCGAAAAGGCAGCGTTCACTGTGAGTGAAAATTCGAGGTAGATGCAAATAAACATATAAGCAAGCTGGGCGGGCGTTTGCACTTTGGCTTTTTTCGTGGCAGTTTAGGTTTACACTGAGAAGCGAAGGCAGGCTAGAGATTGGGAAGGCAATAGTGCTTGTGTGTGTGCACGTCTGCGCATGCCAAATCGCTATCACATTCAATTATTTAAAGGCGAAGCTTGACAACTCTCTAAATTTTCACCTTCGCTTTAGGCACTCGAGAAAGTTGCACGTCGACACTCACCAACTGCGAAGAGGTAGGAGCGTAGGCCCTCGGGTCTGCGGTGCGAGGTGCGCGGTCCAGCCAGGGCAGCACGCTGCTCAGGCATCAAGTGGTAGCGCATGGCCTCGATGAGCAGGTCTTTGCTCTCCTCGTTAGAGCGCACCAGTGGCTCCTCGCTCACCTTGGAGAGCAGGAACTCCCGACGCATCAACGGCAGCCGACAGTGCTGCAGCAGCTGAAACACACGCACCACGAGGACATCATCATCACTGTTGTAATTCTATTTCATAACCGCTGCAGAACATGGGCCTTCTAATCGGCACTTTGCACGCGACTCTGCATTGCACTGCTTTATCTGGACTGACTCAAAAGAGGGATACAGTCTTAAATAGAAGTTTCACAAGCTACGCAGTCTCAACAGGCTGAACAAATTCTGCTAAATGTTGCGTGCATTACGCCCTCGCCGAAATCCAGTCGCCCTGAATAGGAAACGAACCTAAAGCCTTGAGCTTTTCACGCAACGAAAGCCCTTTTCAACTTTCTTAGAGACACTGGCTTTACGGAGGTACTTTGCTTTGTTTAGTAAGGTAGTTATTTTGGTGTGTATTGTCGTGCACTGCTCTCATCACTTCCATTCTTCACCATGCCCAACTTAGGGCAAAGTAACGCACATCATTTTGTTTCCACTGTCTTCAGGTTGGTTCATATTGATGTAATTTAAATTTGAATTCATAGATCAAAGCCAGAGCTATCTTTAGATACGAGATTCTTCGCAAATGGCAAATTTATGTCTAGATATAGAGCATACCAGTCGTGTTGCTAAAAAATGCGCTGTCTATTTTGAATACGTAAGTGCTGCACAAAGCCAAGTAAAATTTAGGCTTCAATGCTTCAACATCCGATTTCTCCGACTTTCTGCTGTCTCTGCAGCAAGCGCAAAGCACTCTTAACCGAAGCCACCACTGCTGCTATGCTGACCCTTTCGTAACGCTGACCAGCCCTCTTGTGCACCGCTCTATTGCAACAATCGTGGTCTCTAAAAGTCGGCTCCACTACATTGCGAAAGTGTAAAGCGGTCAAGCATATGTGAAGTACCGTATTTACTCGATTCTACCGTGCCCTCGATTGTAACGCGCACCCGATTTCCACGACGAAAAAAAAAACAAAAATAAGACATGGATTGCAACGCGCACCCATTTTTCTCGCTGGCCCGCACGATCACACCACGCGAAAAAATTACTCCTTTCGGGAGCGTCTTCCATTTAAATATGAGGTACGGCGAAGCTTGTGCCTATCTGACGTGTAACAGAGCATTGCCGTCACTGTAGTTTTACCGTGGACCGATGTCAGCACGCGAACTTGCTTCGCCCCCTTCTTCTCGACAGTTGTGGTGCCAGGCATGTCAAAGTAAAAAGGCGTCTGATCGGCATTCCCGATTTGCCCAAGCAGGTAGCCGTTGTTGTGCCGCAAGTTTAGAACGAACCTCTGAAAACTGTGAAGCTTTTGATCGTACTCCTCCGCAAAACTTTTCGCATATGCCCGTTCCCCTTCGGAGGGAAAAGCCTTTCCTCTTCATAAAGTTAGTTAGCCAGCACCTGCTCGCTTTAAACTGGCTCCGCATTAGACCTTTTTCTAAGGCTAATTGCATGGCCCGCACTTGGAGCAGTTCTGTCGTCACAGACCGCCATGCCGCTCAAGCACATACTCGCCGAGCAGCTCTTTAATTTGCGAAAACCGACCTTGCTGTGGTTCACTGAAGCCTTTGCGTGAAGCTTTGCTGTCGACAATCTTCTGCTTTTGTTTCTGCCAGTCCCGCACGCACGTTTCGGGAACTCCGAACGACCACGATGCAGCCCGATTTACGCCCGTTTCAGCACACGCGATGACTTTTCTTTTAAAAGCGGCACCGTGGTGCACTCATCGAGTTTTTGGAGTCGGCCCTTCCATGCCGTCGATGCTAATGCACACCAAGATGACGAACTCCTCAGCACACGTACGAAGTGCCGCACATGGGAAACACATAGGCAGAAATGGCCGACGCACGTAGGGGGCGGCCATTTCGAAATGCCGATGGCAATAGAACCACCGTATTCATTTTTTTTTTTTCGTACTCGATTTTAACGCGCATGCGATTTATGAACTCGCTTAACCGGAAAAAAGGTGCGCAATAGATTCGAGTAATTACGGTACTGCAATGACGTGAACCAAGAATGAAAATAGGCCCCTGCCTCTGGACAAGGCATGAGCACTTTAATTATACATTGCCCCCTGTCAATTATTCATTGCAGGATGGGCACCAATATGCCTAATAGGCCTATGCAGCTATTTCGGAGATGGTGGTTTCAAAGGCCCTGAAGGAAGCATGAGTTCTTTTTTTTAGACAACCCAATTTTTATTGTTTGCACACCGAACCGATGTGCCGACAATGCACTTCAAAAAACATCGCGACATGAAGGAAGCAAAGTTAAACTTGAGATGTTCAGTGTGGGTGAGAGTGAAGTCGTGGTGACAAAAAGCAGACTGTTTTCGCTGTTTGTTGACAGAAGGCACAAAGAACAGTCCGAGGGGTGGAAAGCATGAGATTCTCACCTTGCCAACGTACTTCTCCCTTTCGGGCAGATCGTGCTTGATCCAGGCTACGGTGGCCTCGTAGACCAACTCTTCCGAGGAGACATTGAGCTCATCACTTGAGATCAGGTCTTCTACCTGCACAAACAGCACAAAGCTGAATTTACCAAGAATTATGGATATCTAGAATGCTGGTTGGGGGGCAGGGGTTTAACAGGTAGACAGGGAGGTTTACAGACAAGAATTGTGGGGGTTGTATAAAACTACCTGGGACAAGGCCATCTAAAACACCTCTATCTCTGCCCCACTGCGGTTATCTAGTGGGTAAGGTACTCGGGTGCTGACCCGCAGGTTGCAGGATCGAATCCCTGCTGTTGCGGCTGCATTTTTGATGGAGGCAAAAGTGCTGTAGGCCCGTATGTTCAGATTTCGGAGCATGTTAAAGAACCCCAGACGGTAAAAATTTCTGAAGCCCTCCACTACGCGCCTTTTATAATCATATGATGATTTTGGGATGTTAAACTGCCCATATCAATGAAATCACCTCTATTTGTACATATAATTTATACAGGTGCTTCAAATCATTGTTATAACATATCAATGGCAGAACATACAATGTATGGATACAACTCGTTATTTCACCATTGCACATAACTGCGGCCACAATAAGATGTGCACAAAATGAAGACAAAATAATGTAGAGTATTTTCCGTCCCAAAACCACAATAGAATTATGAGAGACACCGTAGTGAAGTTTCCCAGAAATGTTCACCATCTGGTGTTCTTTAATGCGCACGGACATTGCATAGTACATGGGCTTCTACCATTTCGCCTCAATTGAGATGAGACCATTGGGACAGGGATAGAACCCGTGACCTTTGTGTCAGCAGCTGAGCATCGTAGCCACTGTTCCACCGAGGTGGACAAAACAAAGACGAAAGTTGCCTACCTCGTCATGCTGGTGTTTAATTTGACCCTACAGTTCACGCATCTCCTAAACAGCAAGTACAAAACACCTATGTAGAAATCTTGAGGAAAAGACCAAAAAGAGACCACAGTTGAGAATAACTTCGTACCTAAAACATCGTAATAAAGAAAAGGAGAGCATCGATTTTGGAACGATGAAACTGCGCTGTGCATACCTCGTTGGTTTCTTTATATGAATGTACGAACAATTCATAATGACCCATTCAATGGACTGATTGCTGGTGTCTCCGAAGGTTTTAGCAACCCAAGTGCAAGAAAAGTCAGAAAGGTCGCAGTGCTGTGCGCTGCAATGTCTCTGACATTTGAAAGTGGTCACTGAAAAATGATTTAACAATAAGGTATCGCTATAAAATACTTATACCCCAGTTTTTCCAATAAATGTGCAAGCAGAAAGGTGACAGAAGGGCAAATGAGAGAGAAAAGAGAGAGAGAGAGGGAACCTGCGACAAAGGCAGCATGAGGAACTCGTCGGTGTGCGCCACCTCGCGGAAGTGGTGCAGGGCGTATCGGTGGCTTTTGCCCAGCAGGTCGCGGCAGGCGTGTGTGTCGGCAAAGCTGCGGATGCCCAGGCAGTTGGACGGGTGGAGCTGTCCCAGCAAGAAGGCACAGCACGCTTCGCGCACGCTGCCCACTTGCAGCAGGCTGGCGGCAGGCAGCAGGCTCTGCACAGCACAAACATGTGACCACGAAATTTATTAATGCAAAAGCCTCACACGTGTAAAAAGTTATAACATCAGAGGTAGTTGGCATCAACCTGAACTATCCAAAGATAACTCGTAGTGCAATGCAACCTCGATATAACGAACCCGGATATAACGAAACATTGGTTATAACGAAGTGAATGAAGAATAGTCTAGCAATAGATAAAATGTTAGGAATAAACCTTTATAACAAATTTTTGGATATAACAAACTCATCATGTAAGATGCAACTTTTTTATAATGAGGTTTGAGTTGGTAAAGGTGTGGCTCTAGGCACACGGCAGTGGAAACTTTGCGAGTCTTTGTGAGAGCGTTAACGCAAGGCAATACGAAAGAAGCACAAGGAGGTCTTTATAAAAAGACAGTTCAATATAATGCTCAATTCGTGAACATGCATACTTGTCTAGATAGGTTCCAACACAGGCCACGTTTATCTGAATGTGTCACTGTGGTTTGCAGAACAACTAGCAATGTCATCAAAAAACCCTGAAAAGAATAAAAACCAATACACTTTATAGGAATAATAGCGAAAGTTGAGCTAGTTGGTGTTTCATACTTGGGAAGTAAAAACAGCGCACAAATATAGACAAGGACAGAGGAAGAAACGATATTGCGCTGAACTCGCAACTAAACTTTATAGGAAGATACGCGCACATATATCAAACATTCGACCCAGTCACAAGGAAAAGCAAAGGCGATTTATTAAACCAAAGGCGGTTTGTTAGGGACTCTTGTATATGTTTTTGGCAAGTAGGAAGGTGCGTTTTTTTTTTCTGTGTTGTTACACACGTGTTGATGTTCAATATGATTAGGCTTATTTCGTACCTTGCTTGCTTTGGTGCACAGACGCCTTTGGTTTTCCACGTGACTGGGTCAAATGCTTGATATATGTGTGAGTATCTTCCAATGAAGTTTAGTTGCGAGTTCAGCGCGGTGTCGTTTCTTCCTCTGTCCTTGTCTATATTTCTGCACTGTTTTTACTTCCCAAGTAGGAACACTTTATAGGCTTTTGACACTGAGTGTTAGTTAGGGAACGCAAGATTTTTTACGAACTGCACTTCCAAAGGGCTATTGGGGGAGTTGAATAACTATCCATGCATTCAATAGCTGCGGTGAGCTGCTGAATGTTTGACACAAGTCTGCATTGTAACAGTTGGAGCATAGCAGCAGGGACCTGGACAAATTCACTGTGTCAATGCCAAGGTAAATTGCCATTTCGAATAAAAATTATTAAGCACTAGTCAGATAAGCAGTCGGATTATGTTGTCATTTGTGATAAGAACATTTAAAAAAAGATTTCAAGTTTATTAGTCTCATTTTTTTTTTCATTAGAATTCCCTTACAAGGTCACATTAATTGCTCTGCTACCTGAAATGAAGCAGATGGCACCTTTGCTAGCTTCCGTTAAGTTAAAAACGAAGGATGAAAAATTATTGTACAATGCGTACTTTAAAGGTGCATCACGGAGGTTCCGCAAAGACATGGACCATTCATACTCAAAATGCTGGCCAAACCAAGCCAAGAAACGTTAAGTTCTTTTTGACATGTACTAAAGGTGTAATAATAACGCAATCACAAAGGTAATGGTTTTTCTTCATCTATGAGGGGTGAACTAACTAGATCCTGAATCACCTTGAGTATTACCGTATTTACTCGAATCTACCGCGCCCTCGATTGTAACGCGCACCCGGACGAAAAAAAAAAGTAAGACATCAATTGCAATGTGCACCCATTTTTCTCGTTGGCCCGCACGATCACACCACTTGGGAAAATGACTCCTTTCGGGAGCGTCTTTTGTTTAAGTATGAGATACAGGGAAAGATTGTGCCTATCTGATGTGCAACAGAGCATTGCCATCACTCTAGTTTTACCGTGGCCCGATGTCAGCACGCGATTTTGCTTCGCCCCCTTCTTTCCGACGGCTGTGGTGCCAGGCATGTCGAAGTAAAGAGGCATCTGATCGGCATTCCCGATTTTCCCAAGCGGGTAGCCGTTGTTGAGCCGCAAGTTGAGGAGGAACCTCTGAAAACTGTGAAGCTTTTCTTCGTACTCCTCCGGCAACTTTTCGCATATGCCCATTCGCCTACGGAGGGAAAAGCCTTTCCTCTTCATAAAGTTAGTTAGCCAGCACCTGCTCGCTTTAAATTGGCTCCGCATTAGCCCTTATTCTAAGGCTAACTGCATAGCCTGCACTTGGAGCAGTTTTGTCGTCACGGGCCGCTGTGCCGCTCACTGCTCAATCACATACTCGCCGGGCAGCTCTTCAATTTGCGGAAACCGACCCTGCTGTGGTTCACTGAAGCCTTTGCGTGAATCTTTGCTGTTGACAATATTCTGCTTTTGTTTCCGCCAGTTTCCGCTTTTGTTCGGGAACTCCCAACGACCGCGATGCGGCCCGATTTCCGTCCGTTTCGGCACACACAATGACTTTTCTTTTAAAAGTGGCACCGTGGTGCACTCGTCGAGTTCTTGGAGTCGGCCCTTCCATGCCGTCGATGCTAATGCACACCAAGATGACGAACTCCTCAGCACACGTACAAAGTGCCGCACATGGGAAACACATAGGCAGAAATGGCCGACGCGCCATGCCAACGCACGTAGGGGGCGGCCATTTTGGAAATGCCGATGGCAATAGAATGATCGTCTTCTTTTTTTTTTTTTTTTTTCGTACTCGATTCTAACGCGTATGCGATTTATGGACTCGCTTAACCGGAAAAATGGTGCACGTTAGATTCGAGTAATTACGGTAGTCCCTTTTAGCATAAGCTAAAATAAGGTTCTTCTTATACTACAGCATGTAATTTTTCTGCCTTCAATGTGTGAATGCCCTTTACTATGTCTCTATTGTGGACAAGAGAAAGAAAAGTTAATTTGAAGGTACAGTACACGATGCACCGAAAGCCAATTTTGTAAGTGCCACCAGCAGCTTCAATGAATAAAAAATGCCACAGACGCACGAGGTACGTTTCGTAATTGGAAAGAGGAAAAGCAATCGGGAAGCTTGAAAAGCACGTTAAGTGACGTTCAGTGCCCTCGGCAACTGGAGACGGGCTCGTACCGTCACGACAGTAGACATAATGACACACATCACCGAGCGCGGTTCCTGTGACGAGGCGTTGCGACACTAGAGTGACGCACACGGTCACACGAAAAAGCAATACTTTCCCATTCGTGACGTTGATCAGTGAGTGAACATTTTTATGCCAATATACTGAACCAAAAAGTTTGAAACTCATCCCCTCCTGCTATAGCCCTGTACTTGGGCTGCAGTATATTTAAATAAATAATAAATAAATAATTGAAAGGTCAATCGCTCACGGTTGGCCGCACACATGCACACTTTAAAAAAGTTACTTATACGTATTGAAATAAAGCACAAGCTGTACAACAAACTGTCGTTTGTGATGACCCTGAGACAGCGCTGCAAACATAATTTGGCTAAAAGTGTCGGGCAGTGAACATTGTCCACACAGTATGACTGCTTTATATCGCTCAAGGATGGTGATGTGCGCAAGTTTGAGCCGGCCCATTGCAAGCAGCGTGCAAATGGATGAGACATTCACTAAGACAAAACAACGACAAAAGGGTGGGTGCTCATCAGTTCAGCAAGCTTAACGTGCCTTTCCTATATTGTTCTTATCTATCTATGTGCTTTTTGCAGTGCCCATGCCATCTCCAATGTTCAAGTAATAGGCTAACGAGAAACTTCTCGAGTTGCTACATTAAATGTAAGAGAAAAGCCAACTGGAGTACGCCAAGCAGATCATAAGTCTCCGAAGTATGAGTTGCAACAGCCACCCCCAAGCTGCTGATACTTTCTGAAGTTTGAAGCTTTTTTTAATAATGTACAAACACTTTGCAACAAAACCCAAAAGGCACCGCAGGCTTTTCAGAAAAACTTGAAGAATGCTTGAACGTTCTAGTTCAAGAGTAGAAAGCGACAGCGTAGAAAATCAACCCAGAATAGAAAAGAAACTTTGAGACCGCATGGAATAAAATTCACCACAGTGAGTGGCTGATACATAAAAATACAAAACGTGATTGTGTACAGATGCTGTTATTTGGCTTGCTGCGCCAGTTTCTGCATGAAAGACAACACCACAATGGACAAAAGTGAACAAACAATTGCACTAGACACTGAAGTAGTGGGGTTAACTAATGAAATATAGTTTAAATCACGTTTCAGAAGTTAGGCATTTGAACTAGAATCGTGCCATGGGCTAATCGGTATTGTACCTGAAACTCGTATGGCTTTCCTGATGAGGAATGACTGCAGTGCACAGTATTTTGGTGTGTGAGTTCAGAACTGCGTCCAAGCGTTTATTGCTGCTACCGTATTCTGGGGGTATTAAAGTCTTAATCACTCAATCAGTTTATTTGGTCTGATCGTCACTTGGTGCCACTTTCCATCAGTCTATTTGTGGGTTATAATTGACCGGCTTTTCAGTTGAAATCAATTTAATGTCCAATTCGGTTGAAACATGGGCGAGTTTGTGATTGGCCGTCGTGCCGTTTTGATAAGGACAAAAGACATGAGAAAGATGCAACACTTTGATTCTCATCAAAGTGTGCGACTTTACCTATACGGTATAGTGATCGAGTGATACTTCTCACATAGGCACTTTGAATTGCGATCAGTTCCAATCCAGATTAGGCTCGATCAGGACCAGGTGCAGTTTTGATAAGGACAAAAGACATGAGAAAGATGCAACACTTTGGTTCTCATCAAAGTGTGCGACTTTACCTATACAGTATAGTGATCGAGTAATACTTCTCACATAGGCACTTTGAATTGCGATCAGTCGCAATCCAGATTAGGCTCGATAAGGACCAGGTGCTGCCGTAAGGTCCTATTTAATCACTGTCAGGCCCCTTCGAGATTGAGATGACTGCGATTTGACTGTCAGATTACGATTTGATTGACTCGGTCAAGATTAACATAGCAGCGACGACTGTGGGTCATGATCAAAGAATCCTATCAGAATCGGCTGTAATCGCGATCAAAAGTAACCGTGTGAATTCAGTATAAATAAGACGCTTCACATACCTTAACACAGATCTTAGCCGAAATCAATAAGAAAGAATGGCCATGGGCAGACCATGCAGTACGAAGGCAAGATAACTGGTGGTCATTATATAAGCCCATAACAGACTGGATTCCAAGAGAAGGCAAGTGTGTGAGGGGGAGGAGAGCAGTTAGGCAGGCGGATGAGATTAAGAGGTTTTTCAGCGATAATGTAGCTGTAGCAAGCAAAGGACCAGGTTAACTGGACAAAGGGTTGGGAGACCTCAGTCTTGCGGGGGGTGATGTCAGGCTGATGATAAACATTACCAAACATTATCAAGATTCATTTTTGAAAATATGCACAACTTGTGTACCTTTTTTTTGATGCTCTAATGTTGAGAAAGGAAGTGAAAATTATTCCAGTGAGCACGCCTTCCTCCTGTTGAGTGATATGGACGAGATACGTTTATAACAAAGCAATGGTTATAACGAAGTGCATCAGCTCCCCTTACAACATCATTATAACAAGGTTAAAACATACATAATCATCTGATGATTTATGAACACAGTATGAGTAAGAACAATTATTAGTGCATAGTACTGAGTAAAAAAAAGTGCGAGGCTGAATCCTGCATAACTTGTTAAACCCCTGCCCCTAAAACACTCGGCTAGTACTGGCGGGTGCCAGGATATGAAAACGCGGGACGCGCAGTTTTTTTTTTTTTTTTTTGCATCTTGTCATGGATAGGCATCAGGTCGAAGACATTCCCCTGAGCTGCCTGCAGATATGTTACCTTGATTTAAACGAAACACATTTCTGTGGACCCCACTAGGATACCCCTCAGTTCATCAGCTCATTCCAATTTCTGAAGAAAATTATTTCATGCTTGATCACTTATTCAAAGCCACAATTTCCTAAATTTCATAATCAATTTGAAAATTTTGCAACTTAATGAATGCCCCTGCCATGAAACTGTCTCGCCAAATTTATTATAGGTTAGCTAGACACTCTAGTAATTAACAATTGAACCCATTAATTTTCCCTATCATTTGATTCCTCATATCAGAATCAGGGGGAAGATGGAAGCTTTGAGTGAAGAGCTGTTGTTAGATAAGAAACATTGTTAGAGGTTGTAACAAGACTTTGGTGATAGTTGTTCAATGACTTCTAACGATTGGACATTTGTGTTCAAGGGTTTAGCCAGAATTTTTTTGGGTGGGAGAGGATGGAGTTTCAGCATAATTTATGAATGACTATGCATGCACTGGTATGTGTGCATATATATATACACAAGCAAAATTGGTGAACTTCAACAGCGATTTCAACTCTCCCAACCCTTGCCTTAGCACGCCCCTGTCTCTGTTGCAGATATCAGACTTGGCTGAACATGCTGAGAGACACTACCCATGCATGCAATCTTAGATGATCTGGATAGACACACCTGAACGTTGCCCTCAGTGATTACAATCTCGCCAGTGTAGGCAAATTCCACAAGCTGCTGGAGTGCCGAGAAGGCGATGTCGTGAATCACCACCTCAGCCTGCGCCTTCTCACACATGTCACCTGGCAAGTGAGAAAAAAAAAGTCAATAAAAGCGAATTACAACAGTTCAGTGTACATTAGAAAAAACATTACAACCCAATTTTCATTATGAAAAGGTTCTGAATATCATGGAAAAAAAATAAAACAGTCAGATATTAAGAGAGGGCGTGACTAAGGGCACGACCAGTTTTCAGTGACAAAAGATATAATAGACGTATCCCACACAAGCTGCGATAGACAGGACAAGTAAAATAAGTATTTAGGTTATCTGAGGTTTCATTTAATTCAAGGACCCAAATACTGCCTAGAATTGTTTTTTTAGTGTGGAGTACAAGTGATTTAAAGGGACACTAACAAAAAAACATTTTTCTCTTATTAATAAAGCACTCTTTCACAACACCAAAAACAGTGGATTAGTCATAGGAAGATGCTTGGCAAGCGACGAAACAGCCAAAAAGATAAAGCTAGTGCTGACGTCCCCTTGAAGTCCTCGCATCAAACATTGCAATGACAAATTTTGATGGCAACTACTACTTGCAGTTTGACTTGCTGGAAAATTAAATACCGACATTGTCATTTTAGGGGGCTATAGACTTGACACTCCAACGTTTCAGAAAGTTCAGTTCAGCCAATTACGCGAAAATGCAAAAAATACACTTCGAAATCCATGACATCGAGCGTGGAGGTTTCAATGTGAAATTTAAGCATGGTAAACTGCCCTTGATTTCATCCTCTATTGATAAACTTTTGCGAGTGAATTTCATAACATGAAAGTTATCAGAGCACATTTAATCAATCTAAACAGTTTCTTTGTTACAATTTAGAGTCCATTTATTAACACAGTTGTAAAGAATAAGAAAGGCTGCGCTTCTGCTCTTGTAGCTTGTGTGGAATGATATTATGCATGTACAGGGGGGTTCATTGTTAAAAAAAACACTTCGGTGTGCACAATATCCGCATTTCGCTCTCTGGCAGAAGCATAGTGGCTTAGATTTGCATCAGACTACTTCGAGCTGACTGTTCTGACTACTTTTAATAAACCAGTGCCGTGCAGGAACAATTTTTCTACATCTACCAGCAGTTATCGGGCCTTCAATATGATAGGTGCTCACTAGAGTGTTCCCTTTGACACTGGACGGTACTGTACATAGACAAATTATTCCTAATAAGTATCTATGATTCTGCCATTCAAGAAAGCTTTTCAGACTTTCACCTGCATCATGACATCTTGCCCTCAATGCACTGAAACAGTAGCTCATGAAGTCATCACCTCCACCATAAACACTGCAGATAACATTTTCAACTGTCCTTTAAGAGCAAGTAACAGGAGCATAGTCTTTTAAAGGGCCCCTCACCAGGTCGCATAACAGATTTTAGTTAGATGCGGGAAGCTGTTGCGTGTCCAATGAAGAGTATTGTGCCACAAAAATTTCTTTCACCTGATTTGGTGTAGACATGAGCACGTAATGCGTACATCGTGTGTACAGTCGCGGCCACGTCTGTGTAGAGCCCTCGAGCAGCCGGTTTTTGCTCTGTGGGTCGAAACCTTGAGGCAGTTGCGGGCTCTGAAGTGGTGTATCAGGAGCATGCACGGCCTAGTTGTCAGGCTGACCACATCAGAGCCTGGTACTGCCCCAAGGTTTCGGCCCACAGAGCAAGAACTGGCTGTTCGCCTGCTCTACACAGACGTGGCAGCGGTTGTACACCAGGTCCCGTGTGCATGACGTGCCCAAACATGCTTGAGCACTCGAGCATGCGAGCAGCATTTTTATGTCGTGCCAGCGCTCTCTGTGATATACTGCCTGTTAAGGGCGATACCAGAGTAGCGGCATCGTAAGCCAGTGCCGCATGTACACTTAATTAGACACGGGAGAATAAATGAGCTTAATGAGCACTCAAATGTGCCAGAAAAAAACTTTCGTTGTCACGTCTGGCTTCTGCTCGACGTGCAAACTTCAAGAACACAAACGCATGAGAAACAGAGGTAGATTAGTCTTGTATCTTGCTGCAGTTTGCAGTACAAAAAAAGAAAATTCCTCACACATTTCGTCTGTGTGTCTTATAATATCTCTGAAGTTTCATTAATTTAATCAAGCAACAAATCACGTAAAACCATACATGCCACACGAAACATTTATCGCAGTGTCATGTGCTACTGTGAGTGACGTCAGAGCCCATGTAGGGAAGAGCCGTCTAAGCACTGACAACTACGTAAAACCATTCATTGTCATACGTCTCTATCCACACCTTCTTTAGGTGCACGCATGTGCGACAAAGAGGAAGCGGCATTCAGCTTGAACATCGACTCATTTTCACAACATGTAGCATTGCGAATTTCGGCAGACATAATTGCAGACGCCCAGAGTATGAGTGCGCTCATCAGTTCAAAGGTCAGACCTGGTGAGGGACCCTTCAATCCTGGCATTGTAAACAAAGCAGTAATACCAATGGAACTTTTAAGATTGTTGAATATGCAGTGCCCTCCTCTTTCTCAAAGACCAACACCTGTCTAGAAAGGCCCTCGCTATGATGATGATGAAAACACCACAGCAAATTCGACATCGTTAGTGTTCAATCAATTTCCCCCCGACGGTCCTATAGCCTAAATTTTGATCACTCTAAATATAATCACAACTCCAGATATTGCTTAATTTTTTCGGAACAGTAAACTGATGGAGTACCATCACATGTGGAATAATAAACTGATGGGACTGGCCACACAGTGCATTTGTATTGTTGCCTACAAGAAACTGGCTCACAGCCCCATTGCAACATCAAGATGCTCATCTTAGCTTAAATTTAACTAGACTTGACTAAAAGCATGGGCTCTGTTTAAGCCTAACTAGTCAATGTTGTTCCTATGGCCAGCCAACCAAAGTTGACATCCTTTCATTTCTTCAGCATTGCCATATAAGCGAACTTCGTTTGTCCAAAATCTACTGTACAGCGAGGAATCACATTGAGCATTCCATTTTGTTTTTAGAATGCAATGTAGTCCTTGTTTACTGATAAAATGTTACATGCTATATCTATAAAGGTAGTACACTGTACTGCCTTTGTGATGTTACTTGTAACCTGAGCTTTACTCGTTGCATGTATGTCAGGTGTCGTAGCCCCACTACTGCGAATGACAGCATCTCGCAAGACACCTGGCTTGATCATGACTCGGCACTGTCTCTTATCCTTTTGCCTCGGAGCTCATGCCTGGATAGGAAACACAACAGTAAACTAGAGACTATCTGATCGTCCTTGCCATGTTCACATAGGATTACCATACCTCTGCTAATGATTCAACTGGCACTTTTAGTAGTAGTAGTAGTAGTAGTACTTTATTTACAGCAAGCCGGATGCAGAGCTCACTGCAGGGGCAAAGGGCTAAAGGCGAACAGTCTGACAAAGGCCCTTGTCCCTCCGCAGTCCGTGACAGTGCAAAGCTTAAACATCAGCACTGGCAAACAATATATATATTCAATACATTGATTTTAAGCAACCTGCAATTGTACAAAATTCAAACATAAATAGCATAAGAAGTTTACATAACACATTTCATGAATTAGAGGTCACTCTCGTAAAAATTCCCAACTAAACGATATCAATAAAACAACTCAAAAACAGACACAAAATGCATGCGGATACAGTGAATTGCACTGTATACACTCGTATAATTACATAGAAATTTATGAACAATTTAAGCATTTGCAGAGGCATGATACTCCATTACGTAATTTCGATAGTGTAGCCTAGAGACTATCTGATCGTCCTTGCCATGTTCACATAGGATTACCATACTTCTGCTAATGATTCAACTGGCACTTTTAGTAGTAGTAGTAGTAGTAGTAGTAGTAGTAGTACTTTATTTACAGTAAGCCGGATACAGAACTTACTAGTTAGGCTTTGGTGTGTACAATGCTATTAGTCAGAAACCCGTACAACACTATTAGTCAGATATAGCTTTCAATCAAGTTCCGTTGATGGTAAAAAAGTTGAGACCACTTAGCTGCACTCAACTGTTGAACATGGCGTGGAAGTAGGGGCTGGAAGCGGCCAGCACAAGCCTGTGCGCCAACAGGCTTTGCCCACCGGCCACCAGGCGCACATCACACAGCTGGCCCTTAAGTTGCATGCAGTGCATGGCCTGGAAGGCCTCGCGCAGGTGCGCCTCGTGCACGTGCTGCCGTTCGTAGCTGCCGTCCCCACCGTTGCCAACAACGCTCAGCAGGCTGCCCCCACTGCCACAGTCGCTGCTGTCCCCAGCGACCTGCACGCAGCAACATGGCCAGCAATGTAGCTGAGGGTCTGATAAAACCCTTGTTTGCTCAATAGCTGTACTACACTCAAACCTCGATACAACAAACCCAGATATAATAAAATATCGGTTATAACAAAGTCAGTGCATGATTGCTTTGCAATAGATACAGTGTTAGGAATATACCTTTATAATGAATTTTCAGATATAACAAACTTAGTTTCGTGTAACATGTAACTCTGTCATAATGAGGTCTGCGTGATATTATTAGTGTTCTTAGGCTGTTCACCATCTCAATCTTCCGTGCAAACACGATTATGTGTAGCTAAGGTGCTTCAATTATGCTGTGAGAACAGAAGGTTAGAAAAGAAACTAGCATATTTCAGCGAGGTGACTGAAGTGCTGTCATGACTACGATGTCTGAGCTGGTTTGCCCTATGAATATTGTTGTTGTAGCCTGAAAAATCTGACTCATACCCACGATGGGCATTGGTCACACAGTATTTTGTTTTGTCACCTACAATAAACTGGCTCACAGCCACTAAGTGCCACACGGTTAATTGCAATGAGTGGAAAGCAATAAATAATCCGATACTAAATGCTAGGCAACATTAAAAATGGAGACAAAACGTGACCTAAATGACAACAGAAAGAGGTAAAAGAGTTCAAAAAGCCATAGGTAAGAGGTTTTAAAAAGAAAAAAATGTTTAGTTTATAATATTTACGGTTTATAACAGTTGTCTATAAAGTAAATATGTCCCTGCTGAAGCAACCTCAGACTCTGCCCACTACAGTGCCAATGATGCAGGAACCTCGTCCCTGATGTTATACACTGTACACATACACCGTAGATTTACAAAGCATGCAAGCCCCATCACAAAATGTTTGCTCTCTCGCAACATTTTCCAACGCAGGGTGTGCTACGGACCCCCAACTGTGCATCTGTTAATGTGCTAGCCTCCCTTTCATGCTACTTAGTTTCTCATTTCCATGCCTGTCATGCAACACTAGACTAGTAACATCCCGTGCTGCATGACTGGATCGGGTTGCACAACAGCAGCCGACTGCGAGTCGGGAATCGTTACGTTCCGAGCACATAAGCAATAGGCATGCACGTCAGATTCGGAGTGCTAACTGCGATGATACCATGTGCAACACAATGAGGCCCTGATTCGTTGTCGCAATTAACTTTGCTCCACTCACGTGTGCTGCGATGGCTTCCAAAGAGGGAGCGTTGTGCCCCACTGCACGGAATTAGTTCCTTTGGCAAACGGTGGAGGCAAAAGCGTATGAGATGCCTCAATAAGTGAAAGAAAAGTTCTTCCCAGGAGGACAAAAAATGGAAAAAGCTAATCACCCTGGAAAGTACCACTGTGGGGCTACTTTCATCCTCCCAGTTGTTGCGGTTTAGTAGCTTTCAGGATTATTTCTTATGCAAGTACCTGTTATCTAAGTGACATTTTCATTATTTCTCTATATAACTTATGCTTACTGCTTCCCCTCTTTTTTTTTGTCCTGACGTATGCTTAAGAATATCATACTGCATACTGTGTCCTGTCATTCTGCCCTCCTGTCTTTAATGTTTGTATATACCTTGAGAATAAAATATTAAGTAAATCTAGTCTGACCCTGATGTACAGAAAATTTAAAACGCCAAGTCTTGTGTGAAATAGGTCTTTTCTGACAGCTTGCAAATGGTCTCCAGTGGGAAGATAATGTCTTATTTATTATAAAGGCCATTTATTGAAAACTGGCAAGGTTTCACACATGTGCGCCGAAGTCAAAGTGCCCAATAAAGTTGGTTCAAGCCTCCATTCACACTTGCGAATACAGGGAATCTTTCACTTGTGTCAGAGTGCCATGAATGCCGGAGCAAACCTAGTCTATCGGATGCCTCGGTTATTTTTCATTACAGTGGCCAACAACCACAAGTGATCGTTGAACTCTTCCAAAATATACAAAAACGATAGCATGCACACTGCTGGCTTTGTTCAAGAGTCAAGCGAATATGTTAAAAAAGATTCCCTGTGTTGATTTCCTGAACCTTTTAATCACTGCAGCTGTCATAACATTGCTGAAGCAGTTGAGAACTGAACCATAAGCATGATATCAATAGCTGAATGCAATGTTTGTGGCATTTTAGGTGTTTCAAGTGTCCCAAAGGTTGCGCAGTGTGCGTACCGTCAATGCCAATGCAGTGAGACATGTGCCTCTTTCTTTCTGTTTTCCCTATCGAATGTAAACGGAGAGTTACAGACCTGACGTTTCTCTGCCGGTCAACACACACGTGCGTGTTTGTGCCATTTTTGCTTGTCAAAATTTACCCATGACCTGCAGGCAAAAACATGCATGCTATATATATGTAGTATATGTGCCATAATGTCTCATAACGACTATTTTGGAGCTGGAGGTGCAAATAATGATGTGCAATGTATAAGTTACATAAATGTGTAAAAACAAAATGGCAATTAACACATAACTGCAAAGTGTTATGTGTGCTTGCACCATAAAAAGTTGCACTGAGAATGTGTGGGTGGTGCTTACATGCTACCAACTGCTTCTAGTGACACTAATTCATGCTTGAACAATATAACGAACGAAAAGTGTACTTTGAAATTTACACTGACATAATACCCATCAAACTTTTTAAATGTTAGTGAGGCAGCCTGAAGTATTATACAGGGTGTTATATTATGAGAAATTTTAGTACAGTGGTTTGATTTGCCAAGTACCACTGCAAAATAGAATATGTTGTTGACCTCGTTTTTTGGTACACAAAACAAACAATAAAAAAACACTTTGCGGGAGTCATACCTAAATGCGGACTTCAGTCCTCGTTTTTCTTCATGGCATATATGCTCAAAAATAATTCTAAATGTTCAACACAGCCTCCAGCTTTACAAACTTATACTGGCTAATTAAATTATAAGATTTTCGTGTACTTAACATTACATATTATGTGTAAAGAAAAATCAAGGCGGTATAAAGAAAATCTGACAAGACATTGTGTGGGCTATACATCTTGCTTTACAAAAAGTGCCATAGGTAATCGAGTAAAAGAATTCTGGCCTTCTTGAATCGTGTGTTTGTCTGGTACATAAAATTATGATGGGGACTTAAAAATATTGAGGTAGCTCACTCAATCAAAAATTTTTTTTGTGGACCATTCATATACTGAATTTTCCATCATAAATGGGGCACATGTCAACCGAGTAAGAAACACTGTTGCATACCTGGGTCCTTGGTCTGAGTCTTTGAGACTGCCCGGCACTCGATCCCTGGGCAGCTGGGATCCGCGCAGCATCCTCGGTTCGCCTCCGTTGCCTTCGGGCATGCCGGGCGGTGTCAGGCGCATTCCTATGCGAAGACCAAATTGCCAAAGGGAGCAGCCCGCTAGGGCCATGTCCGCGCGATGTACAGGCGCCCGAGCGGCGCTGTTTATGCCGCCGGCCGTGATCGGATACTCGGGCTCATATTGTTTCAGCTCGGTCGCTAGTGCAATCCGATAAGGGGGCAGCGATCGAATAGCGCAAGTTCCACGGTGGTTTCACCGCTCGCATCACGTACTGCTCTACATATACCTGTATCGCTTTCGCGCGCACCTATCAATGCACATGCGGCGTAGCAGATGAAGCACGCTGCGCGCACGGGTCTCGGCCGCGCGTTGCATCTGGCTGCGCGCTGATGCCGGAGGACTGGACGTCAAAGAGGCAAGGAGAAAAAATACGAAAGAGGGGGGGGGGGGGGGGGGGCAACAAGGGCAACAACGCTGCGGGCAATGACCAGCTGCAAAGCAGCTTCCGATATATCAGCGCGCTCGCTTATTCTGCTCGCGCAGCACAGATATGGTGCACATGGTCGCGCTTTCGTTTTCAGACGCTGCGAAAATGTGGTTCATTCGCCTAAACTGAAGGGCACACGTACGCGCGCGTGCATAGCGCACGGACTACCAGTGCGCGCTCCGAACGTAAACCCCACAGGCCGCACCGCTAGTTTTTTTTTTTGTTTTTTTTTTCAGACACCCGCATTTTGGGGTTCCGCTCTCATACCCAGCGTGCATTCGCCGCGATGCGCGGTCATCGGGTGGGGGCGGTTCAATGAACCCCACGCGCGCGCGACAAATGGCCGGCCGCATGCAACGCGTGCGTATTCCCATTCAAACTCGAAGCGCGCGCGTACTGCGGCAAAAGTGAACGTGCAGGCGAGAAAGATGTGCTCACCACGGTGTGTGCAGCAGCCGCCGGCCTCGCACGGGGCACCGGGATATGCGCCGGACTACTCGGTTACCCCAACAACCTGCTGGGGCGTCGTCCTGGCTGCGGAAGCACTTGTGCTCGGCAGAGGCGCGGGTTCAAAGTCCGGCGGCGGTAGCCGACGTTGGCAACACCTGTTTCGATGGAGGGGGCCCCCTCCCTTTCGCAGACACCGCCCAGCGCCGGCGAATCGATCGCGGAGCTGAGCGCGCGGCGCTGCCGTTCACGCAAATGAGTTCGCTAGCGAGGCGCAGCGGCTACGTCTGTCAAACGCTGTTGCTGTGCGCTGCACGCCACTTTGTGGCAAGGAATGTTCCTCCTCCGCCGCCTTTTGCGACCGTCGCCGGCGCAAGTTCATTGCACCGACGATCACATTACAGACCCGTACTCCAGACTTTCAAGCGCGTCGTACACCTGACACCGTGCTCACTTGGTTCCACTGCCGAGCGGCCGGCGCACCGCTCCGCACGCCAACTCAAGCGGCACGCATCCGGCGCGCGCTCGCGTAGACAGGAATACGTAGTAGTGGCAGTACAATGCGTTGCGTTGCACGAAGGACGGATGGCTCCGTTTATTGCTGCTAGCCTTTCGCTGTTTTTCCTTCCGCCACGCTTCGCCTGCTTCCGACAGCAATCAAGGGGATCGAGCCTGCGGAGGGATAGCGCAATTTATGATCCGTCGCGCTGTCGTGTCGTTTTATTTCGCTTTTGTTTACCTCGGCCTCTGTCTGCGTGCCCATCAACGCAGGAAAGCGGTGTCCTTGAATAACTTCACGTCACATCACCGCAGTAACGTCGTAAAAGGGGACATTACGGGAGACGCAGAGAAAGAGATTAAGGCTTTATGCATATTATAGCGGTTTTATAATAAGAAATACATCAAGCATGACTGCATTAGGTAAAGAAGGGCCTGTAGTCACAGTTTTAGTAATCCCCATCCTTTGGATGCTCGCTGGACGATCCACCACTGGGTCACAGAACACCTACCAGGTAGGGTCCACTACCTCCACACCACGACTTCGTCAATCTTGTCTATCATATTACAGACCACCTAGTGATCATATCGTGCACCATACGTCGTTCTGCCGCCACTTCTTACCGCTAGATGGCAAGAATATCGTGCACCATCGCGCACCAAACACTCTAAACTCCTTAAGAAATGAGACGAGCCTAGAGCAGAGCTTTATAACTACAGCCCAAGGTGCCAGGCTAGAAGGGGACGAAGCTATTGAATATATAAGAACAAGGGTGACAGAAAAATTTCAACAAAGCAGTACTTTATGCACCACAATAGACAAGGACGAATCAAGTGGTGCAATGGCTCCATTTTCACAACGAGAGTGGGAAAGGGCTGAGAAAAGGGTTCCTAGTAGTACATCAACAGGCCCAGATGGCATTCCAATTAGGCTGATAAAGACATTAGGTCCGAAGTCTAAGCAGGCTTTGAGAGAGGCAGTGAGCAAAATAATAATCGATGGTGAAATTCCCGATGGATGGAAACTTAGCAGGATGAGCATGATCTATAAAGGAAAGGGGGACAAAGCTGACATAAACAACTACCGTCCTATAACTGTGACATCAGTGGTCTACAGGCTGGCGATGCAGATTATAAAGGAAAGACTGCAGGCATGGATATAAGATGAGGGGGTGCTGGGGGAAATGCAGAATAGGTTTCGGAAACACAGGAGGTTGGAAGACAATCTGTTCTCACTGACGCAGTGCATCGAAATAGCAGAAAAGGAACACAGGCCCCTGTGGCTAGCATTTTTGGATATCAAGGGAGCGTACGATAGCGTGGTTCAAGAGGAATTGTGGGGAATACTGGACACACTAGGCGTGGAACATGTAGTCACTAATCTTTTAAAGGGTGTCTATAAAGGTAACAAGGTAGTTATAAAGTGGCAAAAACAGGTATCCAAGCCTGCAGAGGTAAAACGGGGGCTTAGGCAGGGGTGCCCCCTGTCACCCTTATTATTCATGATGTACCTACAAGGATTAGAGGCAAACTTAGAGGGAAGTGGACTGGGCTTCAACCTCTCTTTAGTCAAACAAGGAAAACTTATTGATCAGGCACTACCAGCATTAATGTACGCAGATGATATAGTGCTAATGGCCAACAACAAGGAAGATTTGCAGAGATTGATGGACATCTGCGGTAATGTGGGAGATAGGATAGATTTTAAATTCAGTAAGGAAAAATCAGCAGTCACGATTTTCAATGACAACGAAGGTAGTGAGCTTAGAATACAGGAGGTCACGCTAGAGATAACAGATAAATACAAATATCTGGGCGTATGGATAAGCAATGGGGCCGAGTAGCTAAGGGAACACGAAACATACGTGACGACTAAAGGTAACAGGAATGCAGCGGTAATGAAAAACAGGGCACTGTGGAATTACAATAGGTATAATGTTGTGAGAGGAATATGGAAAGGGGTCATGGTTCCTGGGCTGACGTTCGGCAATGCGGTCTTGTGCATAAGATCAGAAGTTCAAGCAAGATTAGAAATTAAGCAACGTGGAATAGGTAGACTTGCTTCAGGAGCTCACGGGAATACACCAAATCAGGGAGTACGTACAAGGTGATATGAAATGGACATCATTTGAGGGTAGAAAAGCTAGCAGCAAGATAAAATTTGAGAAGCGATTCAGAGAAATGGGGTAGGAGCGTTGGGCTAGGAAGTTTTCAGCTACTTGTACATGAAAAATGTCGATACAATATGGAGGAAGCGAACCAGGAAGTTGACTGGTAAATACTTAGAAAACAGCAGGTGGCCAAACAAAAAAGAACTATCGGTTAAGAAGAAAGTGAAGGAAACGGAGACTGACATGTCGAAAATGGGCATGATAAAGAAGTACGCACTAGAGATCTATCAAACTTTTAAGCAGGAAATTGCCAAGGAAAGGATCTATGATAATACTCGGGGTAGTTCTCTACTGTTTGGGGCAAGGACGGGAGTACTGCGAACCAAGACATATCGGGCCAAATACGAAGGGGTAGACACAGTATGCAGTGCGTGTGGAGAGGAAGAAGAAACTGCCGAACACTTGATAATGTTCTGTAAAGGGCTTCACCCTATTGTTCAGGATGATGGCGCAGAGTTTTTCAAAGCACTGGGGTTTAGGGACCGGGAGGGCAAAATAGACTTTAAGCAAGTAGACTTAACTAGAAGGAGGTTATCTGATTGGTGGCTAAAGTCAAGGCACGAGTGAAAATTAAACTCTTCACTGCAAAGTGCGAATCCCCAAACTCACTTTTTAAGGAAAAAAATAAATATAGCTTTAAATTCATTAAGTATTACGGCTTGGTGGCGCTAGCCACCGCCCAACCTAAAGAGTACAGCCATATTCATCTGTCCATTTATTCATACGTCGTTCTGCCGTCACTTCTTACCGCTAGGTGGCAAAGACCAGCGACACAAATTCGATGAAAGTTGACTGTTTCATACGTCCATAACAGAGTAATTGTTGACAATTTCTCCATACCTTACTCACACGCGCACGCTTTCTGCTCTTGGGGCGTCTTTCCGTGAGGCGCTCCAGTTTACTAAAATGAATTGTTTAAATAAATGTGCGCGTCTGTGTAGGTTGTTACTAAGCGACGTCGCTGCTAAATCATCTGTGATTAGGTCTACAACTCCCAGGTAACTTTCATTCAGCCTGAAGCCTGTCATGTAACTCCACTTACCGAAAACACATGGCGTTGTAGGAAACGGTTTCAGTGTTACGCATCTAGTTCTCACCCGTTCTTTCACCGCCGCGTGCGTGTATTTTCTTTTTCGCAGGATCGCACAATCACCCTGTGGCGCGTCTCTGCACACATCATGCGTTCAACGAGGCCTGATGGAGTTTTTCGAGCCCAAAGATAACTGGGGTGCCGACGAAGTTCGGTCAGGTAACGACTTTACTTTTAGTGGAAATTTAAAACCTGTTGGAAGTGTTCCAGCCTGTTCAAGTGGAGTCGCAGATGGCTGCTTAAAGTTAAAAAAAAAACAAACTTGAAAATAAATAGCCGGGCTCCAGTGAACGAAATAAACCCTAATACTGATAGCGTCGTTGAGAGTGCGTACAAATAGAAAATCGGCACACTTGTACAATATACCTTAACATTTCATTAAGGCAATTGAGTGCACTGCGAGCAAGTGTTTGCGTTGAGTATTAAAGGGCCCGTGAACCACCCAGAGGTCGAAAGTCAGTTGTGGGGAAATTGTGCGCGAGAGTACGACGAACACGGAGCCGTGAGAATTTTACAAAACGGTGCAGTAATAGCGGAGTTAGACGCGTTTGATTATCGAAACCGTGACGACCACACTTTTCGCTCTCTCCTGCGCATCCCTCCGCTGGTATGCTTTCCCACGCCGCTTTGCCCTCTCACCTAATGCCCCTCCCAATCTCGCGTAGCATGCGTCATCGCCGACGCGCTGCTTGAAACCATAGAGTTTCCCAAAATTAACTAGAGGGCACTCTGGCGCTGCGATCGTTCAGCGACCATGGGAATGATGGGTAGTACACACATTTGCCTAGTCTTCGTACTTGCGGGCGGCGAATCGTACTTGCGGCTTCGTTTATTGCTGGCTACGGCTTGTTTTGAAAGAAAAAACGACCCCTTTTGAACTTAGTGGCTTGATTCGAAGTGTTAAGCCTAAAAGAATAAGGTTGTGAAGTGCAAACGGTGAACATTTGCTAATTTATGTTTTCGTGAAAAAACAGCTTCAAGCCACACGAACACACAGGGTGCCAGAAGCAGGCCAGAAGTACGAAAATTGGACAAATGTGTGTACTACCCATCATTCCCATGCTCGCTGAAGCACCGGGTGTTGCAGCTCCCATAGACACTAGTGCCAGAGTTCCTTCTTGTGTATATTAAGAAACTCTATGCTTGAAACACCGTCTACTTTCGGTTGCCGCAACTCCAACCGTCGATTCCGTCAGTTGCGTGCTTGTTAGTGAACTCTGGCTGCCATAATCGAGCTGGTATGGAACCTGCGTTGCGCGCATGCCTTCAAAGAATTGCCAAAGCGATGGACCTGTACAAAGACATGCCGTGCGCCACACGCACGCAGGCAACACGATGAACAACAAGCAGCGTGGACAGCTGCTTGCAGACTGACCGGAAGTCATAGGCTCTTGCTCGACAGCATATTTGGCATATTTGGCTCAGCGTGCCAAAGATGTGGAACAGTGCGTCACGCGGAGGCCCGGAAAGGAGGAGGGATTGCTTCTCGGAATTTGTGGCACGCCAGTGGCTCGTAATTCTGATTCTGCCACGTGTAGAATCATTGATCGTGACACTATTCTGTACATGATTCGTGCATTTACTTGAAATGCTTGAAAAAATATTGGAGGTGGTTTACGGGCTTTTCAAATACTTATTAAAGTGTACTTTGTTCTGATCCTGCCATAAGACAGTTTTTTTTGGTAATGTTAGTGCAACAGAGCTGTGTACCAGCAATACGCTGGATCAATTGTTTTGTGTGATTTCCTTTGGAGATTTCGCGTTAATTTGTTTGAGATTTTTTTTTTTGAAGATGTGAATGCATATTCTGAAAACACACCACACAAATTTAATCACCGAATGGAATGGCTTCACGAGCAGAGCTCAGAAAGGGAACATTACATGAGTGCAGTCAAACCTAGTTGTAATTTAAGTAGCATCGGGACCATAAGTTAGTTTGTTACTTTTAATATTCGCTGTAACAGTGGATGTCAAAATCAGCCATAGTGAATTGGCAGTCTGGCAATGTTATGTACAAAAACGCATAAAAATAATAAACGACACTGTCGGACAACGGATCAATTTTGGTATGGTGTAGCCTTTCTTCAATGCTGGAAAAGTTGCGCACCTTTCGTTGTCACAATAACTTCCAGTGCTTTCCCGTTTTGTTCGTGCAACCTGTCAATTTCAGAAGCTTTCGTCGCACAGTGCAAGAAATTAAAATAAAAAACTCAACCTTTTAAAATGAATAAATCAAATGTTGCAACTTGTTCTTCAATATTTATTTTTTTCTTCTTGATTTCAACTATAATATCCTGCCTACATAGCGTGTAAACAGGATAACCACTGGTCATTAAGGGTAACTGGCTGGATTCCCAAAGAAGGCAAACGCACGAAGGGGAGACAAAAAGTTAGGTGGGCCTACGAGAATAAAATTTTCGCAGGTATAACACGGCAGCAGTAAGCACAAGACCGGGTTGATCGGCAGAACCTAAGAGAGGCCTTTGCCCTGCAGGCTAATGATGATGATATTTTTTTTATGTACCCTTTAAGGTTAGAGCCTCATGCAGACCAAACATATCCTCATTACAGTCTATTTCATGGCAGTTCTCACATTTTCGGTTTTGTTGTAGAATGAATCAATGTCACTGAAATGAAATGGTACCAGCTGTAGTTTGTATTTAGTTCGCTATATCAGATACTTCACTGTATGAGAGCACGTTATAATGAGGTTCCACTGTACTATTGTGATTTACCTTAGATCATTTTGTACGGATACATCTTGTCAGTTGCTGAAACAGCATAGATTGTTTCTAACACATGCCTGCTTGGTGAAATGGGAACCCGCTTGTTCTCTTGCGGAGTGTTTTTCTTGGTACAGATATAAAGGCCAGCTGTAACAATATGACAGTTTCTACGTTTGAACTAGACTTTTTTTGTTGGTGTTGACTAGCTTATCGCATTTCGCTGAAACTAAAAGGGGAATTAAGGAGGTGAAACTGTTTTACTATTAAATGACTCTTTTGCTACTCCAAAATCATTGCACTTGCCACAAAAATGTGATTCGTAAGCAAAAAAAAATTTGAAAAGAAATGCAAGTGGCGATATCGTCCTGAAGTTTCTGCACCAAATGCCATTACGTCACGTATTTTCACAGCTTCTCCTAGTTTCTAAGTGGTTCCCAATTAATAAAGTACATTGGCCTCCAAAGGGAACATAGGCTTAACATGTTTCAGAAAATTTTGTTGAGCTCAATGGCATAAATTATGTAGGGGGAGGGTAAATCAGAGATGTCCGGATCCCCTTGTGATCAGCCTGGGGGGAGGACACCCATTGCAAGTGTCCCTCTTGAAATTTGGCTTTAGGGTGTCATATATTTCAGTCAAGTATAACACAATCGACTTTTACTTGAGGCTGATTAATTTTTAAAGTGGACTTGTATTCAATATCCTTCAGCTCTCTGAGACTGGAAATCGCAAAAGTAGCTAGCCCAGTTAAAAGAACACTGCTTAGAACAGTGTGATTGGTATACTTTGGAAACCACGTTCTTTTTTCAAACTTTATTTCAACGTGACATTGAATTCTTATGAAAATAAAATACAACCCAGGTTTTAAAAACAATATTGCCACCATTGTCTGATTTGTGTCCGCCCTTGTGATTTTTTCTAGATTTATGCCACTGGTTGACCTAATGTTGAGAAAACATGTAAAATGCACTTCGAAATCCATGACGTGACGCACGGAGATCACGACATGAAGCCTAAGAATGAAGCTTCGACCTTGATTTTGTTCTCTGTTCTCATGATGGTTGGACTGTGAGATTCTATACAGCACTCTAGTATCTTCGTAAAAGAAGTTTGCAGGTCCCGACAAGCAGTGTCATTTGACTACTGAGTGAGCAAGCTGGACACTACCGAATTTCTCACCGTGTGATTGTGCAATTTGTGAGTGTAGATGCAAATCACCGGAATGATCTCTCCAGGTTGAAATTGCCGATGAGAAAGCTCTCAGAGTACAATTTATCACTCTAAACCCATTCGTTGTATCTCTTTAGTGTCCTTTTAAAGGGGCCCTGCAACACTTTTTGCGCATGGTCAGAAAATGCTGCCGATCGGTAGTAGAGGCTCTCGTCAAAACGCGAGCCGAATAATATAGCGCAGCACGTAGCCTGGAATTCACAATAAATTATCAAAGTCAGCTGAAAATTGCTTTCTCTTCTCTCCACAAATGACGGCATATGCCCAAAAATCACACATAGCAAGCCCATCTATCAGCAATTGGCTGATTTGAACATGGCGTGTTTGCTCATTACAGAGATGGCTGCAGGAGACCGCTACTTGTCCACACGTGTGCGCGCATCACGCTGAAATAAAAAAGCCATACATTTGAAGAAAAAAAAAAAGGATAGAAGTTCTCAAGGTCACGAGGCAGGCGTGACGTTTTTTTTGTGGCCCTGCCATACCTCCCTGCTTAGCTTCCAGCACTTTCGTCGGGACGAGAGTAGAGAGAATGCAATTGCAGCATGCGACAAACCTTTGAAACTCCACTCGTACTGGACGGATTCTTAAAATTTTTGTGGTGTTGAATTTGTGAGGCAATAAGATCTTCCAGTCTTCCTGGAAACTCATTCCATCGTTTCTTGAAAAAGCGATTCAGGACCACTTTAGAGGTAGACAAGAACGGCAATTGTAATCAATAGCTTGTTCATCATGCTTCTTAGTCTACAAAAATGAGAATGAAGGGAACTAGACTTTGTTGGACAATGAAGACGTTGAGAAATATTTGGTGCCAGTGAGTGGTCTAAAATTCTTACAGAACTGAAGACCGGGTAGTGGGGCTATCTACTACTTCTTGGGCAGTTAACCTTCTAAGGATGCTGTAAAGAAAAAAAAATAAACATGCAAAAAAGGCAGATTGTCTTTTTTTGTGTGGACGATTCTCAAAATAGCTGGATTATGAGATTTTATCTCAACTCTTTCGTTCCTTCATGAAAGAAGTCTGCAGGTCCCAACAAGCAATGCCCTTTGACTGCTCAGAGTAAGCAAGCTGGACGCTGCAAAATTTTTTGCCAAATGATTGCGCAACTGCGGATAGAAACCACCAGAATGATTTCCCCAGGGTGTCCAGGTTCAAAGGTGTGCAGGGGGTTATTACGGTGTCTTTAGGCAGAACGTGGTGCCTTCAAACTGGTACTGCGTCTAGATGGACACCAATACTATCACGACCGCACTGTACGCAGGGATGCAGCCAAGGCTATTGCTGGCATAACACGTTAGTACGGTTGTACATTGAAAGCCCTAATTTCACAAAAAGGAGGTATAAGTTGTGAGCAAATTGAACGATGCCAGTTCCGACCTCATCTTCTCGTCAACTAGCGAAGATTTAATTTATCTTTCAGTATGTTCTTCTAGCATATGACTGTGTGAAACATTTGAAAGTAATGGTTTTGTAAAGTTTTGGCAAATTAAAGATTGGGCTTATATGCACTTGAATTTCTTACCAGGCATTCCGCAAAAGGGAATGATAACATGCATGAAAGGAGACATATGAATTGTATACATCATTGGCCGAGAGATCTTTCTTAACGTTCAAATTATAGTAGTGTAGGTAGTGTTATAATGAGGAGACATTCGTCTGCAAGTGACACTGTAAATAGAAACGTCAGAGTGGCTTCTTCTCGATTCACATTCTTTCAAAACTAAATTTCTTCGTAACATTTCAGAAGTGACAAGAGCGAAGCTTGGGGTAGTTGGTGCGTAGTCATATTGTCAAGTTTTTTCAGTGCGCGAACATAGGAAAAAAGGGACAGGGTAGACAGAAAGAGCACTGACTTCCAACTAACTTTATTTCACAGAGTGGCAACAATATATATGCCTAAAGAAGGATGATTACAGAACATAAAAATAAAATACAGACCTAATCAATGCACCAGTATCAAAGCACGTGTGACGGGCCCTCTATTGACTCAAAGCCCAGCCAGGTAATCATGTAGTGCCCGTGATAAAGCAACTGACGAGGTGCTCACAAATTCATAACCTAGCGAGTGTTACCTTACGCATTTATCACCCAAGGAGAAAGATGAGATTTGTCTGGTTAAGCTTAAAAAGCGTGCGAAAACTCTTACCGGGGCCCTGGAATTTCAAAGGCGATAGATAGTTGCAAAAAGTTTAGCCTTGACCAGTTCTTTTCTGCGAGAACTCACAAAATTGACTGCCCATTGTAACAGAAAGGGGGACCTGGCAAAAGTCGGTAAGCTCAAAAATATAACAATAGACGACCCTCTTTTGGTCAAAAACTTTGATGCTGTCATTGACATTCTTGGGCGGGCTAACACAGGGCTGCAGGCAATGTCTGTGGATATTAAGGACTTATTTTACTCTTTTACCGTATGACCTACTACTTAAATGTGTAGAGTAATCCATAGACAGTTTCAGATCATCAGCGTTCCAAACGCGTGCTGGAATCCATAACAGCAGCCTGTTCGAATTACTCAGTTTTTATTTGAAGGCCACCTTTGTATCACGGGATAACAAAAACTACCTTCAAAAAAGTGGAGTATGTATTGGTTCATGTTTGGTACCCATTCTCAGTGACATTTTTAGCACATCATGATCATGTCTTGCGAAACAAGCTTGACGACTCAGTAGTTTTCATAGTTTGCCGTTTTGTTGACGATTATTTAGTGTTGCTGAAATGTGATAGTCAAAATTTGCAGATCATTTCCTCTGACATTTTGACTGTTCTCCGAGAGGGCCTGATACCACTTGTTCTAACGTATAAACTCCCCACTGATAACCTGAAATTTCTAGATTTGAAGCTTTTGCTAGAATCCTCGCATGTTTGCTGGAGATATGAACCAAGAAGTGGCAAGCCATTTTCGCCTTTCAGTTCAACTCACTCAAAATTGTTCAAGCGGAGTATTGCAAACCTCTGCCTTGCCAACGTCTTAAAGAAGTCCTGCCCCGACATGGTACACCGCAGCTTTGCTTTATAAGTGGAGCATCTGACCAAACCTGGTTACTCCACACATGTTCTCCTTTTGGTGGTGGAAAAGTTGGTCACTGTGGTGAAGCCAGGTGACAAACCGTATAAGCAAAACAGTGTCAGAAAGAGTCACACAGGCTAAAAAAGATTGCTCGAGCCGCCAACGTTCTTGTGGTTTTTCTGCACCGGAAAATTTTCAGTGACTTTGCAAACAGATTACCACACCTCGTGCGAATTCCGCCCCGTGCTCTGTTATGCACAGGTCACATTACGCCCCACGCCCAGTGGGAGTCGTCTACATAATTTCACTGACGTGTGGATGCGTCGTGTGTCGGCCAAACTGGCAAGTGCATAAATGACCGCTTTCGAGAACACCGAGACAATGTGCACAGTGAAGTACAAGGGCACCTTGGCATTCATTGCCGAGGTTGTGGGTGCACCCCCCCTTTTGATCAGTGCTTTATATTGGCAAGGCATAGGAATCAGCTTACCCGAGAAATTATTGAAGCAGAAAAAATTCACTCACTTGGTGATAAATGCATGAGCACCTCATCGGTTGCTTTATCACAGGCAGAACATGATTACCTGGCTGCGCTTTGAGGCAATAGAGTACCCGTCACACGTGCTTTGATACTGGCACATAGATTAGGCTTGTATTTTATTTTTATGTTCTGTAATCATCCTTTTTAGGCATATATATCCTTGCCATGCTGTGAAATAAAATTAGTTGGCAGTCAGCGCTCTTTCTGTCCACCCTGTCCTTTTTTTTTCCTATGTTTGTGCGCTGAAAAAACCTGCAAATATTTCAGAAGTGATTGCTAGAGCGGAATAGTTGATGGCAATCCTTAGATGTTTTCAGCACCAGAGTGCCAGTGCTGGCTGATAAGTAGTACGATTTCACTTATTTGAAAGCATGCTCTCGTATTTTGATTGTTGGGGATAAGCACATGGCGACTTTTAAACTCGTTTGCTTTAGTTCCATTAGAATAAGCCATAAGACACACTCGGTGCTGAAAATAGGCCCCGGAGACCCATTTGACTTTATAATGAGGTGGTGATGTTGCATGCAATGTTCTCACTCATAATTAATTCTTCCCTTCATTCTGTGGAATGATATTAGTACATTTAGAATAATTTTTGCTTTAGTGTCTCTTTTATGACACGGGTGAAATGTGGACTACATTAGGTTCGTTAAATTAGCTTTTCTGTGCCTGTATCAAATAGCATGTGCTGTGCTGCTTGCATTACCAGAAGCTTGAATATCTGGTAATATTAGTAGTTAGCCCACTTTCTGCAAGACTCAGCATGGTGCTAATGGCCTTGCATAAACTGATTCTTCTTTTGTGGACAGGAAAGTCATGGAGCAAGGATGAGCTGCGAATCAAGAGCAACTCGGATCTTCACAAACTTTGGTAAGTGTTGAGCAGCGCTGTGAGCTCATGGTCTTGAGTTGTTAGTTCAGCTTTTGCTGGTCCTCTCATTTTGGAGGGGAGGGCAGTTGCCTTAAGTAACACCACAGAGAGGGACTGTCATCACTTTTTGTTTATACTTACAAAAAAATTCCTTCGTAGCATAAATACTGTTAATGGGTGCTCACAGTGCTTTCACTCATTTCTCCTTTTTTGTGATAAGAAGTGGACTACCAGCACTTAAAGAGGTACTGACTCAAAATTTCGGGGCCTAGATAGCGTGCGGGGTCGATTCTCGTGAAAAATCGTATATCATCTGCAAGATATCAACAGCGAATATAGCTTGGAAAGTATTTTAAATTAATTTTGAAGTTTGCGTGAGCGACCAACTCCATAGCGCTATAGACACCCTCGGAGGTGACCCCGAGGTGACCCCCTACTTCCCTCACGTCACCCCGCTGCGGTGAACAAAACAAGTTATGATGACGTCATAGCTATCATTTTTCTTTTGCCGCGTTAGTTCCCGAAGTCAATATTTCTCGGCGGCTGGTCGCGAGTGCTTGGCCGTGCGCACACTTAGGAAGTTTTGTGTTTGGTGACATTCCAGTGCCGTTTCCTATTCGAAAGTAATTCTTGATGCGGATCATGCGGAATTGCATCACAGTTCTGTGTGCTGATGTGCTCAAGAGTTGCACACGCTAGGTGGCGACAGTTGCACTTAGTTTATGGAACTCTCTCAAAGCGAAACTGAAACTGATTGATAATGAGGGGCCTGTAATTAATTATCTATTGCGTGCTGCAGCAAATAATGTGTCGTGTCATGACTAACAGCCCTACAGCAACAGATTGCAGCAGAAAAACACGAGGCCGAATTTTTTGTGTCAGTGCCCCTTTAAGTGTTGGAGAAGGGGTGCTGACGCAGCCTTTGGGGGGAGGGGCAATCACATTGCTGTCCCCCCACCCTTGGATCTGCCACTGATCTAAGGTGTTAGGGGCCTGTAATTAATTATCTATTGCGTGCTGCAGCAAATAATGTGTCGTGTCATGACTAACAGCCCTACAGCAACAGATTGCAGCAGAAAAACACGAGGCCGAATTTTTTGTGTCAGTGCCCCTTTAAGTGTTGGAGAAGGGGTGCTGACGCAGCCTTTGGGGGGAGGGGCAATCACATTGCGGTCCCCCCACCCTTGGATCTGCCACTGATCTAAGGTGTTATAAAACACAAGGGTGCAAAAATTTGCCTACCTCTGTATTATTTATTTTCTATAGTAGCTTGTAAAAACTTAAAATCTGATTTTTGACTTCACAATTTAATACATCGTGTGCTGGAAAACATAATGGTATCAACAACACTGAAAATTTTTTTTCACTGTTTTGGAGCTCAGCACAGTTTTGTTTTTTGCTGTTGGTGGCTTTGCATAAGTTTGACGTTTTCGTATGACATGTAGCTGGAAGCTTTTTTCTCTTTGCGGCTCTCTGTAGGTACATCCTGCTGAAAGAAAAGAACATGCTCCTCACCATGGAAGAGGCCGCGAAGCGTGAAGTGGAGCTCTTCCCAAACCCTGAGCGCATCGACAAGGTTAGTCTAGACACGCAAGTGTGCTACTATGAGTTGCCACATACAACCAGCTTCACCAGCATGCAGTGTGTTCAATCAGCATGCAGTGTGTGCCGGTGTTTCCCACTGTAAGATTGCTTGCAGTGGGCACCAAGAGACAGAAAAACAAGAAAAGTGGCCTGACTAAGGTAATTCACCGCATTGTTTTGAGACAGATTTGTTTGTTGAGGCGCTAGTGCTACCAAGCCTGGAACCACCGGGCATGTAGGAAAGGGTGTTTCAGCTCCAGAAGCGTCGTTGAAAAACTGCGTTGGAATGCAGCTTGCTGTAAGGTTCTCCTTCTTCTGTCTGTCATTCCCCATTCATTGAGATTTTATCGTAAGTTGTCTTCGTGTTACGTGCATGACAGAACATGCTTTGCAAGAAAAAATGTGGCACGTGAAACTAATTTGAGATAAAATTTAGCATTTTGTTGATTAATGCAATTAAATCTTGATACATCATCAGCTATTTATTGGGTTAACTATTGCCTTCTCCATTTTTAGTGGACCGGTAGCAAGTAGTTGGATTTATCCAATTTTCATAGTGCATACTTGTTTATGATGGACTGTGATGGCGACGTGACACATCTACGAGCCAATACCCTGCGATGCTTTGCTCCTAAAAGGCTTGCTATGAATGTGTTCCTGACCAAAGGCACTGAAATTTTGCAAGCGTGTTTAAGAATACCCAAGGATTAATCTATATAATGCAGATTATGAGCAAAAATTAGGTGTCAGGGCCCCTTTAAACAGCTCTTGCAAACAAATCGTATTTGGGAGCCTCAAATACAGTGTAGACCACTTATACACTAACTGCTTATAGTGGAGAACTGGTTGCAATGCGGTCTTTTTTCGACTTTCGTTTACTTTCCATGGAACCGCACGTATAAGCATACCGCTTATTGTGCAGTCCCCCGAAATGAAAGACAGGTTATAATGCGCTTGCCAAAAAGATTTGTGACATTCGCGGTAGAAAGTGCGCATAAAAAAATGCGCCTCTGGGAGCGAGTGATGAGGTGGTTACGGAGGAGGAAGGGACGCGTTGGGAAGGAAAGAAAAAAAGAGCCCGGCACGCTGCGCAGCCTTGCCGTCTTTGCACCAGCGCGGACGCGGCTGCAGATAAGGACGGGATCGCACATGTGATCCTGTCTCTATCAACAGTTTCCTGCTGAGAAATGCATTTTCGTTTTTGAGCTTGCTACAGATATCAGGTTTGCTACCTCGTCTGTAAATTGAAAAACTTTTACAGTTATTTGACACGAACTTTCACTTTTTCTACCAGTACGTCTGTGGTCTTTTGTGAGTTTGGCAGGTTTGTGAGCTTGGCAGGAACAATGTGCCTGGCAGGAACAGCATGCGTGGCGCAAACTTCGCATCACCCACACTGTTCTTGGTTCAGTGCTTAAGTGCAATCTTCTCGACGACAGATCTTAATGTCTTGGACAAACATCCTGCTACAGCATTCTGAACAGCAGTCTAGGCCTAATTGGCATTGGATGTGTTTCGGTAGTGATCACGTGCTATTCATAAGCTGCAGTACGGAATGAACGAAGCTCGTTGCGGAGGCTGCAATTGACTGGAAGGGATGCATATCAATGAAAACGAGGGTGGCACATGTAGCGCTCGAAAAGTGATAGTTTGTGATTCGATTGCGATGTCTTGAAATTGGGTGCACGCCCTTCAAATCAATTTATATTGGCCTCTTTCAGCATGTGAAATTCTGGATGCAATTCGGCATCGTGTCTGCGTAATGTGAATAATCGAGGTGGTTTGACAAGTAGTTTGCGAGTTTCTGCGATGGTCTTGGACCTCCCCCCCTTTATTTGTGTTCATTTTGTTGCCAACGTGCGGCTTCGGGCGCAGTTTTTTTTTTTTTACATTTGGAAATTTAAATGCTTGTATAAGCAACACACATTGCATGCTTCGGTTCTCGGACACGCGAGTATGCATGCCCAACACGTTTAGCGCAAGTGCAACCCTTAAAAAAGGATGTTTTGCCTATAGTGCGGAGATTCGTGACTCCCGCGACTTATGTTATAAGTGGTCTGTACTGTACTCAATCTAAATTCATTTTGACACTGTCATTTCAAAATTGGCTGGTGAAGCGCTTCTGCACCAAACTGCACTTGTGTGCAACGAGGTGTAGGTAGTTCAGTGCCTTAACCTATCTGTTGCTGCCTATCATCACTTACCAAATGATGGATCTTAATTAGCAGTGAATTGCAGCTTTTTTTGATATTCATTAATCTTGTTCATTTTTATTTTTTGTCATGGCTCAGGGATTAAGCCTATATAACCTGTATTTGTATTGATAACAATGAAAAGTTTTTTGATTATTAAAGCACCATGGGCATTATAGTAGCGTGGTCCACATTGTTACCTTGATGACTTTCAGATCAGGATGCTTTAAAACACTTTCTGTGAGTCACTCATGAACGTAATGGTTGAGTCTGACACAGACACTAAAGGCTGACACAACTCGTTCGAGCAGATGCTCACTTTTTCAAATATCTTTTGTATTTGGGCTTTTGTGGTTCGGTAAAATTTCTCCAGACTTTCCAAGTCTCTGGCTCTCCACTGATGTACCTTGGTCAGTGTTTACTGACAAATGACATGTTGGGTATTCACAAATGCTGTCTAAATTCAAGCCATCACGAACAGCTAGTTCGAAAACGTTTGAGCAGCTTCCCTTCTGACCTGCCACTTTTGCTGCTTCTCTAGCTTACTTGATTTCTTTTTCTGGAACAGCATCTGCTTTGTGATTATAAAGGATGATTAGTGAGTTTTAGTATGGTGTAAAATGCTCACGTTATCCTTAGCATGTATTTAATTGCCATTGCTGAAACACAGCGCTGCGCGTCACAACTTAGTTATTTAGCATAGCAGATGGGAGTTCAATGATAGCGATAATGTATACATGTTCAGCACCATCTAGCTGTAGAAATGCGAAGTACTGACAAGTCTATGTTGTACAAGCACATTTCATTTTGTTTTGCCATATTCACTCCGAATGAGGCAGCACTAAAACAACATCCAGAGGCGAAACAAAAAGTGCAGTGCTGTTGCTGAACACACCGAGACATACAACCACAAAAGAACTTTAACTAAATGACTGTCATTGATAGTAAGGCCCAATTTGGGTAAATATTGCTACTCAAGTTGTGGAACATTGAGAGAATAGCACAAAACCTGAATCACTCCCCTGGAACGCCCGTTAGTGCGTATGTGCATGGATTACACTCCATAGCAAAGTGTTTGGTGGATGACTGCTGGGCAAGTGGCTACAAGACGGTGCGGAACCATGGTCACAGTACTGCATTGGGAAGGAATTGGGCTGGTTCAAAATGTTGCACTTATATGTGTTATGCATTACTGTAATAAGAGTATAAAGCTTTTTCTCAATTTTTTAAAATATAATTCTCCCCTGCTCTCTTTTTCGATGGGAGCTTACAAGATTTTCTGTAATGAATAGGTCGCAAAGGCTGTCCAAGTTTGTAAGAATGTAGCTTAGGTGTTAAGTAGCATTTTCTGATGAAGTGAAGATGAAAGCTCAGGTAGAGGCACTGCGGGAGTAGCGTGAGCCCTCTGTTTTTTTTCCTTTGATTGGTTCAGTGACTACAATTTCTTCATGTTACCTGACCAACGTAACTGAACTGTTTTAACCTAAGGATAACGTTTTCATTCACTCCACCTATTGCAGTTAGACGTCGACATATCACTATTCCTCCCGTTATCAAAATGCATCCAGCTTCTGCTATGCCACCGGCTCATCAAGGCACATCAGAGCAGCGCGTTCTGGCTTCCATGTCCATTTCGTCCACAAGTCTCCAAGGCTGGGAGGCCGAGAAGAAAGGCTTGAGAAACTGCAGGTTCAACTTTTGGTCACAGCAGACTTTGTTTCATGCAGTGGGGAAATATGAAAATGCTATCATGCTTAGATGTAGGTGCAACTTAAAGACACCTGGTCAAGATTTCAATAACAGATGAAAGTTCATCTCGTCCATAACATGATGAAGCTGCAGTCACTGACCCGATTAGGTAGCAAGGGATGAAGGGAAGTCTTCATTTCAACTTGGTCAATGATCACAAGTTTTTCGTTGTAACGATCCCCACCTGGTCATGTCCAGTCGGGAAACAACACTTCGGTGTATCTTGAAAACACATTGACATTTCTAGCAACTGGAACGCTAGGATTAATTTATAAACAGAAACCATTTGGAATGCACAAAGAATGTACTCATAAGGCATTTTATTGTGACGACTTGCAGGTTAAGGAGAGCATGAACAACCTGGAGGAGGTGGTGCGGGAGCGCAACGAGGCTTACCACTTGCTCGAGATAGGAGAGTCCGGAGAGCAGCCGTGGGTCCCCAAAGAAAACATCTATGGCTTCGTGCGCGAGTGAGACACTATTATACCACTACAAATAGACATCATTCCAAAGAGCTCAAGTTCCTTTCTGAAACTGAAAGTGATCGCACTCACGTTTCGATCATCTGCAGGCTTGTGTACTGTGTGGTAGAAGAGCACATGAAGGAACCCATTGCAGTCAATGTTGTCTGAAGTTCTCCACTATGGGGTCTCTCACAGCCCATGTGACATTGCGACAATAAGCCGCGAAAGCTTTCTAAAGAATACATCCCAGCTGGGCTCATATTTTATTATATCTTGTTACTGCTCACTAGTATAGACTATAGTGAAAAAACATTAGGCTTACTACCCTTATATCTCTTTCAGGTGCCAGTTAAAATGGTCTGCCTGAAAATGTGTCATTTTCACTAGGCATTATTATAAGACACTAAATATTACATAGCAATAAAAAAAATTAAGCAATCTATTGCTTTGCAGAACTTTCAGAAATTATTGTAAATTAGCATGCAACTAACATATAGTTATTCCTGTAGTCAGTTAGATTCATTTCTTTTATAAAAGAATCAAATATCAGTCTAAAAATTAGGGATGTGCGAATATTTGAAATTTTGAATATATTTGAAAAGTTTGATTTGCGCTGAAATTTTACTATTCGAACTTTCTAAAGTACAGTCAACTGTTCGATTGGCAGTGGCCCCTTCAGATTTTCAATATGCTTGCACCCCATCACACTCTCCTATTGCAGCAAGGCTGCCTCTCGAGCTTCTGCTACACTTGCAGTTGTAGTGACTCAAGAATACGTCCGTTTCTAACATGGAAATGATAGATGTGATGGGGGAGGGGGGGGCTCAATTAATGCTGCTTTGTACCTGAAGTTTGGGCAGGAAATCCGAAAAATTGGACGCCGAAGATTTGTAGCATACAAGATTTCAGATGTTCTTACAAAATATGGACGTCTACCAGGCAGATTTGAAACTTTGAACTCTGAGGGAGCACACCCTTGTCCGCCACATCAGTTGAGCTGCCATGGAAGTTCAAAGAGGAACAGTGACGGAGGAAGTAGCATTTCTGCCATTAAAGAGTAAAGTGTTGTTGGCAACAAGTAGATTGCTCCAAATCGTGTACATAAATACAATTCGGCCTCTGCGTTCGGCCTCATTATTATAAGACAACTATAAAACACCACCCCGCCAGTGTTTCATCAAGCTAGCCAAAAGAAACACTTTCATGTTGCTATTTCATAAGGAATCCCTTAGGAATCTTCTTCAACTTATTTACTACAACTTTGCTTCTAAGTATTAAAAAATATTACTAGAAATATTCGAGAAATATTCTAGAGTATTTTATTCGGTTCACACTTGAACTTTATTCGAATTCACGTCGCGTCCAAAGTTTTGCAATACACTCAGCTCTACCGATGTGTGTTATCCTCCTTAGGGCATGGAATTTTAAGGCCCTTATACAGCAACTTACCATAATCATCTTCCATATCTCCTGACCCACTACCTGGTGCTCTTTGGCCATGAAATGGCCCTTGCTGCCATGAAACACCATATGTCATCAGTACTCACTGCTTCATTTTGCAAGAAAACTTTATTTAGCCATTCCAAAGCTTTGTACACCTAACCTTAACTTTTTTGGAATGGTCTGGTGCAATTCTTTTTGCAAAAAAGTGTATATTGGTTTGTTTATTTTCCAAGTCTGAGTGATTTGTTTTTGGCATGCAAATTTCAAGTGAAGTTAGACATTCCTGAAGGTGAACATCTTCCGATTAGTTGATGATTTTCTTCATTGTGTCAAGAAAAAAACTTAGTTGGCAAAAATTGCTTTTCATTTCGTTTTAACACACGTCTCTTGAGCTGTGCTCACATTGCGAATGGAGTTGCAAATTGTAGAAATTTTGGCGTTTACATTGCTCTTATGCAAAATAAGTCATGTATCTACATCTTCATCAAAAAAGTGAAAATGCATTGCTTCTATAGACACTTGTTCTGAGTTTTTCTTCATACTTTCAATAATTCAGCACTGGGTTAATTTGAGCACTTCTTCGGTCCCGTCGAAATCTGGAGTAGTGAGCTTTTGCTCTATTGATGTTAAAAGATGCTGCTGTTATAGGAAAAGAAGCTATGAGAGAGCACCTAAATGTTTGGTTATATATTTGGAATTTGATTATGTATTGAAATTTACTATACAGTCGAGCCCACATGTAACGGCCCCACTTAAAATGAACTTTCGCTTAAAACGAACAATATCCACATGACTATGAAAATATACATTGTTTCAGTGGCACGAAATCCCACTTAAAACGAACGTCTTTGAGCGCCGCCGATTGTTTACAGCGAACGGAGTTGGCGCTTTGCGGACTTCCCGAGAATCCATTTTCGACCACCGATCAGGCATTGGCGAGGGGCCCATAGATTCTTATTGTTAAATGCTGACTCTGCTTCTGCACCTTTCTAGCTGCCGCTCTCCCCGACCGCTTTTTGTTACACACCCCTCTACCCTTTGTCTCCCCGCTACTCTGAGCACCCCGCATTGCCAGACGAGGCCCGTGTTTTTACACTGCCACTGATTTTTCGAAGACCGGTTGGCTATCTCTCTTGTTTTTGATCGCTGGTACTGTCGTTGGCGTCGCCGGCTTCGAGTGACCAGACCATTTGCCGACATCGTCGGCCACCGACTGTATCCGATCGTCTGCGTCTTGTCTTATCGTATCGTTCGAGTGCACGCCCTCACGCTACGTCACCGACTCTGATAATTTGCGATTATTTTCGTGTTTAGTAACTGTTCTCACTCACTGCGCACGCGGCTCAGCATGTCCTCCGCACGCATGCGGAAGCATAAAAACAGCTGTTAATTAAGTCGGTGAGGCCTCGCAAACTCGCTGGCGCAACAGAACAATTCTTTGAACACGACCACCGATGCACTGCACACTGCTGCGCACCGATCCAGGCGGCCGTGCTTTGTGCGTGGAAGCACTCTTTCAAGTTTTTTTACGTGTGCGTTTCGCGGACATTTCAAGCAAAAGGTCGCTTTCCTGCCGTATCTTCCCCTCTCTTCACCCTATTGAAACTCCTTGCCCTTCTCTCGCAACTCTGCTCTCCTCTCTTGATAACAACTCCTTTGCCCGTCTCCACCGCTCCATGGTGCCAGCCACGCTGACTCGAATTCAGAAGTTTTGTTTTCTGACTAGAAACAAGCCCAGAACTGTACCTCGCGTTCTGGCACCTGTGTCGCGTGTACGCGTCTTGCTCACTCTTGGTGTGCATGTGTGGTCAGGATGGCGGACGGGAGGCCTTGCACGCTTTTTCCTGTCGCTCAACAAAACATTGAAAGTGGGACTGCTTGGCTTGGGCGTAATTCGCTCGTTAGGTGCTGCATTGCGGAGCGCTTACTCATAGCTGTTGACCACCTGGCAGCCAACTTGCCGCTTCGGGTGTCCTGGTATTCAGCTGCGGAGATGGTGAATATTTCGTGGGGGGTGGTGACGGCTACATGCGCACGAAACTGTTTTCGCGAGGCCGACTTCGTCGACGTCGGGCCCGATGTCGAGCCTCACGCTTCCGAACAGGACCACTGTGGCTGTGATTTGTGGCAGTGCGTCGTCGACTCCGACATGAGAGAGTGTGTGGGACATCTGTTGCAATGGTTTAATTACGGCCGATGATGATGCCGAAATCGCGGAACCGTGCACGGATTAAGGCATTGTGAATGAAATACGCGGCAAGAGCGATTTGAAGCAATGGGATTGCGAGAACAACGAAACTTTGGATCCAGTGCCTCATGCAGCTTATGCCACGGGCCTCGGCAAAAAGCACGCTGACATTTGAAATAACTCCAGACCACCCTTATCGCTTCTGCTCTTCGAAACACGTGCGTCACCGACTTTTTTGGGCAAAAAAAAAAACTTGTGTTTTCACTCGCAACTTTTTTAAAAGCTGTGTTTCATTTACTACGAACTTCGGGATACAGCGAACGAATGCCGCGTCAGGCTCAGGTTTGTTATAAGCGGGCTCGACTGTATCGAAACGGACTTCATGTGGTATTTTAGTCATGAATTTCAGCTGTGGAAAAATTCATTATCCTTTAGAGCTTTTTTTCTCTTATGTATGAAATGGGCCAAGGTGCATTGACTCACTTCTTGCACTTTTGGTATTAGAAATTGCACTTTCATACCAGTGCACACCATCGCTATGATCAGCGGCACTGATGTTTCTGTATTTGGTGGCTTCCAAACGACACATTGTTTTGTTCTTGCCACACAGCTTTGCCCTGAAGGAGCACTTGATGCCACGCACGTGCAACCCCAAGGGCTACTTCCGGCTCTGGCGAGACAAGGACCTGAACGACTTCCTCCGGTTGTACCGTGAGAAGATGCAGAAGCGCAAAGAGTTTTTTCACCGCACGAGCAGGAACCGGATAATGCAGATCATCAAGCGCTTTCCACATGTGGACCGTTCTTTGCTACGCGATATGTATCCAGACGTGGACATTGACAAGCTCGAGAAGATTATGCAGGAAAAGATTTACATCGCCTACGAACAGCAGACCACGTGAACTCACTTCCCAATTTGGTAGTGTGGAGATGTCAACTGAAGTTAACATACTATTGAACTTATATTAAAAAAAAATTGTGTGAATAACAAGGGAGTGGTTTCATAAGTCAGCACTATAGTAGAATACTTGACTAGAGAACTCAAAGGGACCGAAGAAATTCACTTGCTTAAGCAGGAGAAAGGAAACAAAAACGTTTATTCAAGAAAAGGGCTTTGTGGTGTGGGCTCATCTTGGTATGCAAGTCCCATATAGCTGTGCTGGCTGTCCTCAGTTTAGGGCACCACGGGGCTGACGCTTCCGGGGTGACCTTCCGAATGCTTCCATGTCGTCGCGGCCGCAATCGTGGAAAAGCAACGTCGAACAGCGAGCCTCTTGTTCCAGCGCGTCAAGCTGATGGCATAGCAACGAAGGTCCCCGCACCACAGCTGATTATGTGCTGCACACGCAACACACATTCTGCATGTCGGTGCGGGGGAATTTCAGCGCCGTGCTGTCAGCTTGGCGCGCTGAAGCGAGGCGCTCGCTGTTCAAAGTTGCCTTTCCGCGATGGCAGAAGCGACCCCACTGCAGCGTCGGCCTAGGTGCGAAGTATTGTTGTGTGCCACGACAGGTACACACAGTACCAAGGCACTCAATCCATCTGTAAAACTATCGGTCGCCAAAGAAGTCATACGAGAGAGAAAGAAAGCAAGTGTGGATTGCCGCGGATAAAAGAATAAGGTAAGTCCAGCTCTGACCTGCCTTTCATTTCAATTGTCTCAATTATTTACTTGAAATCATTTGTTTTTACTACCTGAATCGTATACGTGGAACGTCCATGCAAAATCTGCCGTAATGATTGCAAGCTGTCTCCTCGCTCCTGTGAAAGTTCAGTTCTGGGTATATGTTGAAATATTGTGTTTAGATTCCTTGTGTTTGTGAGATATTGCTGTCATTGCTGGATGTTCACACTCACATTCGTCTTACTGCGAGTACCTTTGCATTGTTGGTTGCTTTCAACTGAACAAAGCACATTGTCAAAGGTTCGCCGCCGGCAATTCATGCATCGGGAAGGATGCATCATTGCGCCGGAACAAACGTCCATGCATTTGCAGCAAACTTTGACATCCCCTTGCTGGTTTGTTCTATTTTGGTCTCTTCATTGCAGTGGTACTTATTAGAGCCACTGAATCGAACTGGCACCTATATAATAAATGAATTATAATTGTCACATTAGTAGTAGTTGTCCGGTATTTTTCTCATGTGCGCCGCTTGCAGGCCTGTTACGATTCGTAAAGTGCTTTCAGTGTGCGTTTACGTGTGCACTAATTGTGCGAGCTCATTGCGCACCCAATATCGCATCGTGCATGAAAAACTTCACCTCTCACGCTGAGCCGCGTTCACGGAGCAGGCCTTACACACCTGTGCAGTCGATATTTTTATAAAATGGTAGAACAAGTGCGACGCGAGAATTAAAAAGAAGCAATAAAGAGAAAACAAGATGTGCAGTTCAACTTGCTTTGCAGTGGTTAAAGTCAGGCTAGCTGCCTTGCAGCTGAGGAAGCAGATGATGCTCCAGTGGTATGTACAAAGGAAATGACCAACTTTACCAGGTTTTTTAGGGCTATGGCCGTGTCATCCTTTCTTTTTGATACGCTGCGAAAGTTCGTTCATGACTGTACGCGTCTGCTACTACCAGCATTCACATCGGAACAACAATTATGTTTTCTTATTACCGACAACGTTTACCATCGATCACTTGCGTGGTTTCTTTTTGCACTGCATATAGACCATTAGTATACTTAACGTATCAGAGAAGGAAACTTACCTCGACCTATCATACACGGTAATGTAGCGGACATCAGAAATGCATTTTGCATTCATTCCGGCGTCATTGCCTGTTTCATAACGTAAATGTGAGTAACAAACTTTTCTCATTTGATTATGTTTACTATTCGAAGTGCCTATACAACTAGGATATTTTTTTTAAGCGATGTGCAGCTCTCCAAGTGCAGTGCTACGGCCCTGCACGTACATGGAAGCGAGCTGCAGCACAGCGAAAAAAAGGAAAACGCGCCTCGTACATCCGCAATTTCCATTTTTCAGCCAGAAATGGCACTGCTTGTCCAGAGTTTCAGTGCCACTAAGGGTTGCTTTAACCAGATGACACCCCACCAGTAATGATAGAAGAAGTCAGAAAAGCTTTGGAGAGCATGCACAGAGGCAAAGCTGCTGGTGAGGATCAGGTAACATCCGATCTGCTGAAAGATGGAGGACAGAATGTGTTGGAAAAACTAGCCACCCTGTTTACAAGGTGTCTCCTGACGGGAAGGGTACCAGAGTCTTGGAAGAACGCTAACATCATCTTAATACATAAGAAAGGAGATGACAAGGACTTGAAGAATTACAGGCCGATCAGCTTGCTCTCTGTAGTATACAAGCTATTTACAAAGGTAATTGCTAACAGAGTAAAGAAAACATTAGAATTCAATCAACCAAAGAAACAAGCAGGATTTCGAACAGGCTACTCAACAATTGACCACATTGATACTATCAATCAGGTAATAGAGAAATGCTCAGAGTATAACCAACCACTATACATAGCCTTCATAGATTACGAGAAGGCGTTTGATTCAGTAGAAATATCAGCCGTCATGCAGACACTACGGAATCAGGGCGTAGATGAAGTATATATAAACATTCTGGAAGAAATCTACAGGGGATCAACTGCTACCATAGTGCTTCATAAAGAAAGCAACAGAATACCAATCAAGAAGGGTGTAAGGCAGGGGGACACAATCTCCCAAATGCTATTTACTGCGTGCTTACAAGAGGTTTTCAGAAGCCTAGAATGGGAACAGTTAGGGATAAGAGTTAATGGAGAATACCTTAGTAACCTGCGCTTCGCCGATGACATTGCATTGCTGAGTAACTCAGGGGACGAATTGCAACTCATGATTACGGAGTTAGACAAGGAGAGCAGAAAGGTTGGTCTTAAAATTAATCTGCAGAAAACGAAAGTAATGTACAATAACCTCGGAAAGGAGCAGCACTTCGAGATAGGTAATAGTGCACTTGAAGTTGTAAAAGACTATGTCTACTTAGGGCAGGTAATAACCGCAGAGCCTAACCATGAGATTGAAATAACTAGAAGAATAAGAATGGGGTGGAGCACATTTGGCAAGCACTCTCAAATTATGACAGGTAGATTGCCACTATCCCTCAAGAAGAAGGTATATAACAGCTGTATCTTGCCGGTACTTAGCTACGTAGCAGAAACCTGGAGACTTACAAAGAGGGTTCAGCTTAAATTGAGGACGACGCAGCGAGCAATGGAAAGAAAAATGGTAGGTGTAACCTTAAGAGACAAGAAGAGAGCAGAGTGGATTATGTAACAAACGGGGGTTAAGGATATCATAGCTGAAATCAAGAAGAGGAAATGGACATGGTTCGGGCGTGTAGCCCGTAGACAGGATAACTGCTGGTCATTAAGGGTAACTGACTGGATTCTGAGAGAAGGGAAGCGGGTTAGGGGGAGACAGAAGGTTAGGTGGGCAGATGAGATTAAGAAGTTTGCGGGTATAAGTTGGCAGCAGCAAGCACAGGACCGGGTTAACTGGCAGAACATGGGAGAGGCCTTTGTCCTGCAGTGGACGTAATCAGGCTGATGATGAAGGGTTCCTTTGAGTTTCTCTAGCTATGGTGTTCGACCGTGGGGGTCCCTCGTATCACATATAAGGCATGACAGTGGTACTTGTACATGGAGAAGATGCAGTGTAGCTATGGTGCTCCGCCTTGCGGGTTCCTCGAATCATATACAAGACACTGCATTGGAATGGCTACAATGGCATGATAGTGGTACTTCTACATGGAGAAGATATACTTATGATGTTATACCATGCGGGTTCCTCGAATCACATATAACACACTCTATTGGAATGGCCACGGCAGTATGGTAGTGGTATTTATACATGAAGAAGATATAGCTATGGTGTTCTACCATGCGGGTTTCTCGAATCACATATAAGACACTCCACTCCGTTGGAATAACCACGGGGGCATGGTGGTACTACTTATACATGGAGAAGATATAGCTATGGTGTTCTACCATGTGAGTCCTTCGAATCTACATATAAGACACTCCCTTGGAATGGCCACGACGGCATTATAGTGGTAGTTTACATGGAGAAGATACATTATAGTTATGGTGCTCTACTATGTGGTTCCTCGAATCACATATAAGACACTGCATTGGAATGGCCATAGCGATATGGTTGTAGTACTTATACAAGAAGACGATATAGCCATGTCGTTCTATCATGCGGGTTCCTCGAATCACATATTAGACACTCCATTGGAATGGCTACAATGGCATGAAAGTGGTACTTTACATGGAGAAGATATACTATAATGTTTCACCATGCGGTTACTGTGAATCACATATAAGACACTGTATTGAATGGCTACGACGGCATGGTAGTGATACTTTGACATCTCATAGCAGGTGCATAGCCAGAAATCTTTTACGGGAAGGGTGGTTCAGTCGTTTTTTGTGTATGCTCATATGAGCATTTGTGTGCGTGTATATATAGGCAGGCAAAATTCAAATATTTTGAAGGGTGTTTCAAGTCCCCCAACTGCCCCCCTGCCTACGCCTCTGTTTGATAGTTATTCTTTCGACAAGTTTCTGCATATATTGCTCTGACATTATCAAAAAAATCTCCATATCCACCTGTTTAAGGCAGAAATGTTTGAATTTTAGCTGCGATTGTGAGAATAACAGAAAACACAAGTATTGGAATACAGTTTGCCCTTCAATGCTTAAGTGAATTTTGCCACGTTTCAAGTTTGTATATTCAGTATGTAGTAGTTATAAATAAAGCTGTTCATAATTATTGAGCTGGTTCGAGGAATGCAATAACATTGCTGCATGGAAAAGTTTAAGCCCCCGGGACTTTGAAAATAAAAGCACAATGAAGATGTTGCAGAACAGCTGAAACTGCAAACATCAGGCAAGTCAATTTATGCACTACTGTTCATCTGGTCATAGGCGTGTGCAGTGTTCAGCTTCGCGGAGGGAGGGGAAGGGAGAGAAGGTTATTAGCAGCAC